TTAAGATAAATTCATATATAACACCTAAAAAAAATTGTTCCTCTCACATTTTAAAATGAAAATTAGAAATTTAAAATTCTAAAATAATTTAGCTATTCTATATATTAAAATTCTGGAAACTATACATAGTATTGACCCTTTTAACATAACACTACACTTTAACATAGCACTACACTAGTTACGTTAAGAAATAATCTAATATTAATTATTTAATAATAAGGTATCTTAATTTTTTCAAAAAATTAATGCATAAAACTACTGTTAAAAACTGATAAATACAAACAAGAAAAAATCTCAAGTCAAAATAAATCTGAGTTTAAACTAAAACTCTGTGCAGATTTAACTATATGTATACATATTAAATAAGTTAGTTACATAATTTATTCCTATTTAATAGTTAAAAACTAAAGCTTATGAGAATTAGCAGCAATAATCAGAAAATCTTAAGCAAACAAAGTTTACAATAACTACAAATTTAATCATCAGGTATAATTTAATAAACAGACATTAGTATTGATAAATACAATTTAATTATAGATTAAAAATTCATTTCTGAACGTTTTAAAACAATGCATGCCTTTCCATAACTAAAGAAAAAAATTAGATGTAGGTTAAGAATATGTAACAAATTCTAAATAAAATAAGGCAGTATTATAAACATGAAACAAGAGTTAAAAATAGTACTGACGCTTAAATTTTTATACATCAAAATTAAAGATAACCATTTTGAAACTTTTTTATAGCTTTTATGCACTTAACTCGTAAAATCTACTGAATACCCCGTATAATGAAAACTACATAAATTAGGAATATGTCCCTTAGAAGCGCTATATAAATTTATTTATTTCAATAATTAACTAAAAATCTTGCCGTCTTAAATTCACATAGGAAATGCCATTGAAATGGTTCGTTCGAAAAAATGTTTGGAACGCGTTTGGAAGGAGGCGGGGTGAAATACGTCATCACTGTCCCTGTCTATTGGAATTTTAAATATTTTTTGTATTAATGGTCGAAAAAATTTTGTTTGAACTTTTTTTTATTTATTTCCAATGGCAGACATGAAAGACAAATTTGTAGCTGAGAACAATATAAAGAAAGAACAAAAAACGGGAACAAGAGCTACAAAAAGAAAGAGTCTATAGATCTGTAATAATGCATCTCGCCCGCCAATAATGTTTCCACAAGGGCCCAAGAGGAAGTGCAGGGCAACTTCTCAGATGGTTTGTTTGAATTACACATATAGAAGATCAAGAACGTGATATGCAAAGTAAAATAAAAGAAAAATTAAATAGGAATAAAAATTCTTTTTCTTCTGAAAACAAAACTTGGATGCTAAAAATAATTCCCGGAAAAAAGTATCCATAAAACGTTAAAAGAAATATAGTCTATCAGAAAGGCTTTTAAAAAGGCCGGGCTATCATAAAAACAAAAGATTTACATAAAGATATACATAAAAGCAAAGCAGGAAAAATAAAATTAATCTCAAAATTTTTTTTTGTAGCTGAACATCTTAGTTTTCCAATAACTGTATTTTCAAGAAAAATTGAAGGAAAAAAAAATTAAGTTTAATAGAAACCTTCTTAAATGCCTCGTCATAATAGAAACTAGTTTTTTTACACAAAAAAAAAGCTAGATAAAAACCAAAACAAAATAGTTAATTTTTCAACGAAAAATTTAGAGCAAAAAATCTTAATTCAACTTTTTTACATTACCATATTTTTAGAAAAAAGTGACGATGAAAGAATAACCTTAACTATAAACGCTCTTTAAGAAATGCTGCGTCATAATAAAAACGCTAAAAAAAGTTTAAAAAAAATCAATTGAGAAACATAAAGAAAGTTGTTTTTAATTCTTAAAATATAATTTAGTGTTGAAAATCAGTTCTCTGTGTTATCGTTTATCTGTCTCACCATAGAGGAAAAAAATGGCAATAAGAGAAACAAGTCTATCAGAAAGTTAAAATGCCGAGCCATAGTAAAAATTGAAAAAAAAAAAAAACTTTTAATCTTTAAAACAAAAAGCGTTGAAAATTGACATAACTGATTTGTCTAAATATAATTTTAAAAAAATTAGAAGTACATAACTCATGATTCAGTTAGTTTCAATTCTTCAAGTTTTGTTTTACCATTTGTCTGCCAGAACAGAAATTTGCATGCCGTGCTAAAGATTTAGAACTTAACAAATATGTGTAAAAATTATTTCTAATAATGTCTATTTCTATTCAAAATCCAAAAAAATTAACTTAATCGAATAGGCTGACAATTCGGCCAACCAAATATTTGGAACTGTGTTTGGTACAATCAGGTAACATTTTTGTTAAATACCGTTTATGGAGAAAAACAAAAATGAAATTTAGATAATTTTATGCAAATATAGTAACTGGTTCTGAAAAAGTTCTTAATTTACCACTCTAATGTGGAATTCGGTATGACAATATCACAGAGTTGCTTGACACTATACTCAAATGTATTAGTATTGTGCATACAATGTTTTTGGAAATATAATAAAAATATAAAACAATATTCAAACAAACAATATTTATTTTATCAAGCTCAAAGTAAAAGAATGTAAATTAAAGTATGGATTCAAAAAAGCTGAGCTAGAGAAAATAGTAAAAAAATGCATAAACAAACTATACAAAAATTTTTTTTTTTCATGAAGAGTTTTTTCTCACCTTATTAGTTTTTATTATTCTATAACTAATAGATCACCAAAAATTATCAAAGGGCAGAAATATCACAACCACCAAAAAAATCAACATCATTTAGTAATTAAAAGCTAATAAAAATGTACCTAAATATTAGTGTTATGTTTGCATTTCAGCAAAACAACACACTATATTTTATTATCTTACTAGATATCTTAGAGGAGAAATTTTTTTTTCCTTTTATCGAAGATAATAATTTATTCACATAATTTTTGTCAAAAATAATTGATTCTTCTTCTAAATTTGATTAAAAAAAAATACTAAAATTTCAGAAAAAATATTGCTTTCTTTAAAAGCATTGAAAAAAAAAAAAAAAACTCTCTATGTGCATTATTAAAGGTTAGGACCCATTTAGGGCAAAGGAGACAATGGTTTTTTCAGCAAAAACAGCATTTTAAGTCCTTTTCACAAAGATGACTTGTTTAGCAAACACGTTATTCGAATTAAGGATTATTATCATTATATTTTTGAAGATCGAGCTTCAGAATATATTTTACCTTCAGTAAATATTATGCTTATTAAAACTGGTGTATAATGTTGGAAAACAGTTAATAATTTAGAAAATTATTAACAGTTTTACAACATGTTAAATTGCTCTGAGGATATTGTGACCTCTTAATAAGTATCATTAAACTGGGAAAGTAAGTAAACTGGGAAATTTTGTATGGATTTTATTAAGAATGAAGACAACCACAAAAAATGAAATGACGCTGATTCCTTAATTTTACAATGGCACTACATTTACAAACATATTTCCATTTTACATGAGAACGAATATCTTCAATCATGGTCTGTTTTTACAGAGATCCATGAATCTTTATTATCAGCTGTAACAAAAATAAAATTTTTTTTTAGTTAGAGTGTAAGGAAATAAGAAAATTAAGAACTAAATCAAAACAACGAATTTGAATCTACTCAAGCAACAAAATATATTACGTAAATAGTAGAAAAATTTAAAAAGCAATATATATATATTTTTTAATAGTAACAAAAGGAATACAAAAAGTGAAAAAGGAGAAAAGGACAAAAAATTCTAGCAAATAAAATTAGTTTAACTTTTACAATTTTAGGCAATATTTAAAAACACAAAAATGTGTTTTGATAAATGTATATAAAAAAACTATTCTTGTGAGCATTAGAGACAGATTCACCTTTTAAGAAAATTAACCTAATAAAAGAAAAACCCTGAACACAAGCACTATTAACAAAAGTGAAGCAACCTAATAATCAATAAAAATTCTCAATAGAAAATTTTCTCACAAGGATTTTGCTAATAAACACTTTGAAAAAGAGTTTAGTTTCATATGCACATAAAAATATATTACAAAATGCTCCTACTCATTTTTGAAGTTGAAAGAAATTCTAAGGCTTAGACAGTCCAACAATCGGATCCCCAATAAAAGTTAGCATTCAAAACTAGTTGCTTTAGCATTCCCCAAGATTAAAATTATTAGTCAATATAGTATTTATAGAAATCAATAATAGTAGCCTAAATTGTGTCATTTGATTCTTATCAGCACATAAGTTAAAGGAAATCTTAAGTAGAGATGACATAAAACAGGGTCCATTCTAAGCGGGATTTGTGGGTATGTCCTTTGAATAAAAAATTTCTGTTTTGAATTTGAGTAATCAGTTCTCCATGCATTCTGTTAGTAACGATTCTATCGTTTTCTGTTTTTTTCCTTTGCCCCTTTGGACACTTTTCTGAACTCCGATATGTTTAAAATCAAGATTTAGTGCAATATGCTAGTTTGGCAACAATGAATTTTTTTAAAATGTTGCCGATTTATAAAATTAGTAACAAGTTTTCCGATAAAAAAAAAACTGTCTTTCAAAAAAAAAAAAAAAGCTAGCAGCCAAAGTCACTTAGGTTGGATTTTAGTAACAAATAGTAGCCTTTTAGTCATTAGTAGAGGCTCTGAACATCAGTTGGACTTAACCTAATGATGTAAATAAGGACATATGTAAATTACATACATTTAAATTTTCGGTGACAGAGCCTGAGATATACATTTCTTTATTGTTTTTGCTATCAGATAAAAGAATATTATATATGGCTGTACAATGGACTACAAGTCTTTTAGTACAGTATGTTTTATTTTTTACTAATTACTAACACTTTGCATATTATATATATCTATGCTACTGTGAATGACCAAAATCTGGAGAATGTCAACAATCACATAGTTGCTTTGGTGAATGTTCGAAATATGTGTTATATCCAATTTTATACTAATTTATGTGTTGATATTATTATATTTATTTGATATAATTATATTTATTCAATATTTTAATACTTACTGACGATAGATTAGAAGAAACATCAGCGTTTGGTCATCAGTTACCGGGCAATGGCACTTGACCTTAAAAAAACATCAGTGTAGGATATACCGGGCAGTGGCACTTAACTAGAGCTTTGGTAAATGTCCGAAATATATACTAGGTCTAGTTAAGTGCCACTGCCCGGTATATCCTACACTGATGTTTTTTTAAGGTTCAGTGCCACTGCCCGGTATACCTTACACTGATATTTTTTTAAGGTCAAGTGACTATGTGATCGTCAACGTTCACCGGTGAAAATCAACAACCACTGATTTCGGTCATTCACAGTAACATATATACATATAGTAGTTAAGAGGGCATCAAAGTTACTTTAACAAAATTGGTGGTCCGCACAACTAAAAAGTTGAGAACAGCTGATATAGATCGGTAAAAAGAATTTTAATACAACTCAATTACCTTCTTTGTCATTTAATATCATATTAATATTTTATCACAGAACTCTATCGAAATGCTAAAAACATTTTAAAATCTAATATTGCAAATTTCAAATTGTTTGATTCTTTAATATATTGTTGTAAACATAATATGAAAGATTTGGCTGAAATTTATGACTGATTTTTTTCTATTTGCTTAGGATTAACTGAAGTGTATGTAAATTGTTAATTAATTTAATTTTTATTCTATACAAGTGGAATTCCTAATAAAAAGTGTCTTTTTTTTCTATCAATTATCTTTTAATAAAAATATTGTTTCTCATTACTAATAATAATGAAAAAAAAAATATTTTTAGAATTACTAGTGCAAAAAAAAAAAACTTTATTATTTTAAGAAATATTAACAAAAATATTTAATGTTCCATAAGAAATATATATTTAATGTTCTTTTTAACATCATAATTAATCAAATTAAAATTAACCTTTATTACACAATGCATTGTAAAAAAACAAAGGCTGAGAAAAATTTTGAAAATACTGGGAATTCAAAAATTTTTTAAGCCTAAAACAGCAAACTTGGTTCTTAATCTGGACTACATTATACAAACAGCTTATTTTCCTGAATTCATTACAATTATTCTAAACATGTTCTCTTATTGAGTACTTAAAACATCAATAGCTATATATTCTAGCAATTATTGTTTTTTAGATGTAACTTAAAGATATTTTGTGAAGTGTAATAATTTAGAAGTTTGAAATCCATTTAAAAGGACTGATAAATGCTAATCATTTACTTAATTCAAAACAAATCAGTATTATGAAATAATTATTTAGACAAAATTACAGTATTAGATACACATTCTCTATACAGAATCTACTATACATTTTCTAAAGAAATAAAAATAATTAGCTATCAAAAAGACTTATTTATTTGCAAGGTTAGCTTTAGAAATAGCAGATATCATTCATGAAGCAGCAATTCTAATATGAAATTATAATGAATTTAAAGCATATATTATTATCAGTGAACAAATATTGTCACTGAGTTCTTTTTCTGTAGCAAAATATCTTATGTAAGGATAATTTCTTTCAGTTGCAAAGTAATTAATGTAAAGCTCATATTTTACTGTAGCAAAATATTTTACACAAACTTATCTTTTTCTGCTATGAAATAATCATTTTTTAAATAAAGCTCACCCTTTTCTGGTGTAAAATATTTAGCATAAAGTTAATTCTATTCTTCAGCAAAATATTTTATGTCATATGTGAATTTTATTAAAAAATATTGTGCCAAAATCAAACCACTGAATTTTACAAAATGCTAAAGGTGAGATTTTAAAAAATAGATTGATAGAATTCTACACATTCACTGAAAATTATTTTAATTCTGATTTAATTCGATACATAATAAATGCATGTGTTAAAGACTGCTAACAGAAATAATTTTACAAAAATTTAATATAATTTTGTTGAAAATGATTCACATTACCATGTTTTCTTGTATTGCATAAAAAAAGCACAAAATGCAGAGATTCTTTATTTATAATTATATTTAAAACTAAATGAAATAACTGGCATGGAAAAAAAAACATTGGTATATATTGTATTTTTAATGATAAGCATAGCCGAACTAAAATTCATATTCATGAGATAGAAGAAAAATCAAGGAAGCAGTGACTAGGAATTCACATAATGCATAATTATTAGTAGATTAATAACAATACCGACCAAGAAAAGTAGATTTTATCATCTATCATGAAATAAGTGTTTTAAAATAATCTTATTTTAAACACTGACAATACCTTTTAAAATTAGTAACAAATTTTAAAAATAAGTTTGACTTAAACAAAAAGATACGACACTTTTCAGTAGTTTTTGTAATACACAAAATGTACAAATAATATCATTACATGTCAAAACTATGACAGTTAAACAGCATCTAGCAAAACTCTTGAAACTCAAATACAAAACATAAATTTGAGATAGCAATATAAAAAATGAGTTATTGCACTCTAAAACACACATAAAAGGAACTCAATTCAAGTCAAATGCATAAAAATAATAACTAATAAAAGTCATACTGTTTTATTCAAGTGTTTCTGTGCAGTTTTCACTAATATTTTTAAAATACTTTTATCCGATAATAGTCATATAAAATTATCAAATAGTCTGTATCATGCAATCATGATTAAGTCAGTATAATTACTTTTTGTTTCTGGGTTTCAATTCTTCAAAACACGGATGTAGAAAGATATAATTCTTCTTTTGAGGATTGTAAAATTCATGGCCCTATAACAAAATAAATAAATGTACGTTTATAAATAATAAAAATTATTATTGATACTAAAAGAATATTAGTGCAACAATAGAATTTAGCATTAATAAAGATAAAGCATTTTAAAAATTACTTAGACAAAAATAAAATGAATACTAGCTCTATACATTGACATTTTGGCAAAAAATAGCTGTATAATTAAAAAACAAAATTTTTTTAAAAATACACATTTAAAGAAAAATTATTTGATTGAATATCAGCTCTATATGTTGATATTTTTATAAATAATTAATATTCAATTATTATTAAAAAAAAGAAAAAAGATTTGCACAAAAAAAGCAACAAATAAAAATGATTTTTGAATTATATAACTTTTTGATAAATTGATTCTTGAAATGTGTTCATATGTACAGTGCGCAAGATAAAAAAAAAGAAACAACCCTGAACAGGGGTGATTGTGAGCCCAAGTTGAAATTCCGTAAAATCTCTTGAGTTTAAAAAAAAAAGAAAACAGAAGTTTAAATTGAAAAACATTTAAAACAAGTTTTTTTTTCCTTTTTCTCAATATGTCTTAGTTTACTTAAAATATATTTAAAATTTTACACATACCTATGACCAGGAGAAATAATTAAAATTTACAAATATGTCTTTCTTTCTTGAGTTTATGATTATAATAACTATTTACTGATAAAAAATGAACATTAATCATGAATATAAGCTTATAAAGTATCTGGCTCTCCCTTACAAACAAATAAAATAAACCGTGTTTTTAAGTTCCACCTTTGAAAATTTGATTTCCTGAAACTTCCGTGATCAATGATTTTTTGAAACGCCTGAACCTTTGATCTGCGGAAACTTCCAGATCACTCTTAGCGAATAATCCGGATTTTTTCCGGAGCACAATCAGCCCTGCTTGAATAACTCTTATTCTAATGATTCCTTCAACTAAATGCCAATCATAATTGTTTCACCCTCTGAGCGTTACTCCTGTCTTTCATATGCAAGCTTTCCTGCATATATATATATGANTATATATATATAAAAGCTAAATTAAGCTAATAAATTAGTGCTAACTATTAAATAAAGTATAGAATCAAACACAAAAATGCACTTTCTCTGAATAAACATACCCTTTTTTGACGGATTCTGATTTCAAACCCTTAAAGTAGGGAGAGAGGTTGCCACAAACTTGAAAATATGATCCTAATTGTTAGGTCAAGAGAGCGGTCTAAAGTTTGGGGTCCTTTTATATTTATTTCCTTTTTCTGCATAGATTAACATATCTTGCAAAATATTTAATCAAATCAAAACTGTTTTGGGTGCAACAGAAAATTTAGTTTATTCAAAGATAATTACATGGAAAATATAATTATTAATACTTCTGATCTTTTTATTTAATAAAGTTCAAAATTTTTTTTTTTAAAATAAGGTATACAAATTTTTGCATCATTTTAAAGTTTGTAATTTTAAGTGAGAAAATATAAAATTTGAACAAAATTGGTCAAGAAATTAAATTTAAAATTTTGACTAACTTAAAATTTAATAGCATAGAAACTATTCATCTAATTTAATTCAAATTTGGTATTTTTTCCCCTAAAATAACAAGCTTTAAAATGATATTTTGAGAGTCAAAAATCTAGATTTGTCAAGAAAAAGTTATGTTTTTTCAGTGAAAGTACGTTGTTGTACCTGATCCTGAAATTAAATTAATAATTAGCACTTATTAATTAGCATATTTCAAACTACCCCTTAAAACCATTATGATCGGTATTTAGTACATGGAAATCTGACTATTCGAACATAAGTTATTCAGGGTTATATCTTATTTATTTTGCCCACTGTAACTGGACTGTATAAGGTAACATAATGAAAGAATCGCACAAGCCAGAGTATGTAATACTAAATAAATACCTTAGACCAATCATAGCTAACTGCATATGCAAATATTTCTCCCCTAGCATTGAAACAGCAACGAGAGATTGACTGGTCCATAGGATCTGAAGTTTTCAGCTTAGTTCGTGCATCTTTATCCCAAAAGCTGAATCTACCATCAGAGCCAATAGTGGCCAATGTCCCATGAACAGGATGAAAAGATATATCATTTACCTAGAAATTAATAAACATCAATTGATCAATTAACAATTAATATGAAAATTTATAAAAAGTATACATCGTAACAAATATTAAAAAAATTAACACCAGTTAAAATAATAAAATTACTGATCTAAGCAGAATGGGGTTATTAATAAACCTTTTTACAATACAGAAAATCATATTTTAAAATGCTGAAATATCTAAAACAATATATGTCTGAAATAGGTATCAAAAGTTCACAATGGATGAAGCTTAGAGATAGCACCATATCAGCATGAAACAACTACAGTATTTATCAGTGTATGAGTCAACTTTTAAAACCCCCAAACTTTTACGAAAATCAAGGATTAGATAATAAAGTTCAAGATTTGTTGATTGTTAAATATTGATGCAAAATAAACATCGAGATAGATATGAATAACACTGTAACAATTTATCCATTTCAAAAACTATTTTTAGTATGTTATATACAATAAATTTTTCAATTTCTTTTATCATATTTTCTTTATCTATAAAGTTTTTTTTTAAACATTTTAAATAACAAAAAAAAAAAACAATTTTAAGAATAAGAAAAGTTAAGATTATTTATTCAAGAGTATTTCAAAATATATAAAACAATGAAAACTTTTAAAACATATCATTTACAAACTAAAGATTGCAGAAAATCATCTGTCACCTATAAATTTGGGATTTCGTAATAAAAAAATGTTGGGTCTACTTATACACTGAGATATACAGTAATTTTAATTATTATTTGAGAGGTAGTCTTATCAATTAGTTCCCTCTTTTTCAATTATAAATACTACTCTCTACTCTTTATTATAAATACTACTCTCTACTCTTTATTATAAATACTACCCACCACTCCATGTATTTCCACTCTTGGGAGTATTCAGCTAAAATATTTTCTTTGCCAGAAGTTTGTTTAGAATAATAAATTGTTTTAGGATGATGAATAATCTACTTTTAGAAAAATCAATCTAAAAAAAACACAGAGCGTTTGCGCCTTATTCATATCATTTTTCACTTTAGTCTACATAGTACAAAATATACCACTATGCTCGTAGAATTAAGAAAAATGTTTCATAGTATTTTTCTGTTTTTTTTGCAAGATATTCATAACTAGTATTACATATATAGATAAAAAAAAAAACATAACAATCTTGCAAATTAATGTTAATTGCTATTCATTTGTAATACAGAAAATAGATATCTGGAATATCAGTTCCTTGGATTTCAGATTCTTAACTACATATATAATATTTTATAATAATATAAAGAAATTAATATTAAACTAAGGAGTAACTATTAGATTCATTCAAAAATGTACAACAAATCAAACTTCTCCTTACAGCAAATATGTCTTGATAGCCATTTGAAGTTCCATTTGATCTATGACATTTGAATGTGAAGTTGTCTTTTGGGTTTTGAGGATTTACATATTGAATGGCTACTCGTCCTTCTACACTTCCGAGAGCAAAACCACAAGGTGCAGATTTTTTATCCAAAAATATTGATACACATCTATGCTGCAATAAGGAAGAAAAAAAATTCAGTCATGCAAATAAGTGCACATAAATTTAAATAAAGTTTAATTTTAATAATGCCTTTCTTTTCCTTTATTTAAATTATGGAAATAGTTAAATTTTATGAAAGCTACATTTCTGAATAAATACATTACAATAAAATACATTAAACAATATTATTTTACAAGTAAAATGTTTTATCTAAAAACATTATTCCTGTTTGCCTGTCATAACTAATATTGTTATGACAGACTATTAAAATGTATTTTAATAATGTCATGCATTAAAATTTTTTAAAAATTATAATTGTTTAAAGAATTTCTATTACTAGTTACAAACATATTTTAATGGTTTCTAAGGTCACATACTACAGGTAACCATGCATGAATTAAGTTTACTTTTTTATTTAACTGTTATTTATAGCTGTTAGTCAGTTCTGATAGAATAGCCCCAAATTTAAAGAACAGAAAGGCCATATGAGCACTTAACTTTAATTTTAAAGAAACAAAAAATAAAATCAATGAAAATAATTTGCTTGGAATTAAAGTAAACAGATTTTTTTATGTTAACACACTGAGAACAAGTAATTTTTATTTTATTTTTTTATATTACACCCAGCCTGGGTCAATTGGTCATGCTATCCATTACAAATGCGAAAAACCAAAAGGAGGTATCCTCAGTCTCAATATCTATAAATTTGAAGGCCATAAAGAGATGTCCATTCTCGGAACCACCCCCAAACAGAGGGCATAAGGCTGCTATAGGAGGTAATCACGACCCGTCAACATTCTAAAACAGGCAATTTCTATCTTCCTGAAGAACTCTGTTTTTATTTTATAGAAGACACTTACAACTTTTTCAAGCAGCAAAATTACTCTAATAAAGCTTTCTTGAAATTTTAAATATTGTCTTGATTAATGATTTACAATTTCTTACGTAATTTATTTATTAAAATAGCCATCTTTAGACTTACAAAGATGTTTTTATAAAAGATATATAGTTTTTCAATGCAATAGTTCAATCCATTATATTGCTTTTTATAGAAAATAATATCAATTTAATTGAACAAAATTAGTGTCACATAGTGACTTTAATTTAAAGTTATAATAAAGGAAACATAAAGAATAGAAAACATAACTTACTTGAAATTTTAAAGGTGATTCTATTTTTTTAAATTCCTGAGGTTGTCCTTCTAACTGATAAACAATAATCCCTCGTCCAGCAGTTCCCACTACTGCCATTGGATAAACCTAAACACAATTTAACTTACGTTTTTAAAAGTTTCTTTTTTCTTACTTTAAAATATTGAAGATTACCAAGCATTAAATACAATAAATTTTTAATTGGCCTATTTTAACCTTTTAAATATGACATAACAATAAATAAATAAAAATTAACTTCTTCATATAAATACCCTTTGACAGCAAACACAATGAAAATTTCTAAAACAAGATTAAAGATTATGCAGCTTTTTTTGTTGTTACTTTAAATTAAAATGTTAATATAAGCTAGTATAATATTTTTTTTTATAGTTATTATGAAAACTTCTATTTGAATATTAATGTTTGAAATATTTGAAAATAAACAATATTCAAAAAAGAAAAAAAAATCAATAGTCTGTATGTGACATATTAAATATAAAAGACGTTCGAGTCAGAAGCTTTTAAAGCTATTTATTTTACCAGTTCATTAAGAAGTTGGACAAGAGCTAGGCTATGTATACAACAAGCAATCTATTTTTCATCATATAGAATAGAAGACATTAAAAGTTTGTATTCAATATTAATTTGTATTTGCAACTTATAAATAATGATGGCCAGTATTAACACTCACAATTTAGATTTAAAACCAACAAATGATGGAAGTCTTTTTTAACCATAACTGTACAAGCAAGGAACCATGGCTGGCACCCTTTGAAAGTGCAATGGTAAATACATAAATAGTGTGAGGCACAAATATACCCTAACATACCTAAAGTTGCACGTTTTTAATAGTCAAAACAAACATTAACAGGGGGGCGTAGCCAAATTATTCAACGAAAAATAAGCACCTTTTAAGCACTCAAAAAATTTTTTTAAGCACATAGCAGTGCACTAGGCAGGGTTGAAAAGTTTCTGACATTTGACGGTTTTATCTTGTTTTAACCGTCATGTAAAAAAAAATAATAATATACCTTTTGGCATTGTTTTTGACAATTGGCAAAAATCATGAAATTTTGAATCATGTAAAATAAATGGCGTTTTCATACGCTATGGACTGACAATACACTGAAATAGATTGGAGTCGAATTAATTGAGAAAACGTTGAATAGAACAATGTGAACTGTGTCATTTTGCACAATTTGAAGCGAAAATCTCATTTAGAAAAAAGGAAAATTAAGCAATTTTTAAAAAACAACCAATGAAAATATAACCTTTAATGGCTCTTAAGAAACGAAAATAAGCACCTTTAAGCACTTTTTAAAAACGCTACGCACCCTGATTAAGCTTAAAAATCTATTAAACACCAAAATTCAATATTTAAGCTATTTAAAAGTTAATTAAAAAAATTACTCTAATATTTGAAATGATGATGTTTATATAAAGTTCCATAATATTTCTACACTTCCCATGTATTATTTATAAATAGGACTGGGCTATAAATCGATGTATCGCGACACATCGATTTAACGCCCATATCGGCAAGTGGATACAGCGACTTTCGTTCCAGGCGATGCATCAGATATCTGATTTAAGTCTTCGAGGTAGACGATATAAGACACGCAAGGATCTTCCCTTACGTTCCGATGCCGACTCGGGGTGTTCGTTTCGTGATGTTGAAATGGCCTTGATTGATTAGCGGTAGAATCATAACCAGAGTTTTGAGAATACTATATCGTGATCTCGCATGTTCGTTTTCACACCCCTTATTTTTTTTCTTTCTTTGTCGCGACTTGATATAATTTCTTGTAGATTATTTTCAGTGGGACTAACTTCGTGATCGCTGCCGTTGCCTTGTTCTGAACGCAATCTATTATTGAAAAGAATTTATAAGGAGTTTTGTCATTAATTAGGTAATTTTTTTTCAACAAAACGTTTTCTTATTTTTAAATGTGAAAATTATCGGAAATCTAATTTAAGGCGCCCATAAAGAATTAAGTTACAAAGTAATTAAATTTGTTAGGTTTTTTTCTTTTCTTTTAATTTATTAAAAACTTTTAAACTTCTAATAATTTAATGGGTTTTTATTATTGATTTTAAATTTATAAATTTTGAGTTGCTTTTATTTTTAGAAATTAAGTTAAAACAAAACTTATTTTTTGTCATTTGGATTTGGACATAAGTCAATCAACTTCGTTTATTCAAAAATTTTTTAGTTAATTAGCTAAATATATTATCGAATATCACAATTCTTTTGTTTTTATTTTTAAGAAATTAAACCTTACTTTGTTTTTCGTTCATAATTCAATTTAATGGAATTATTTATGTGAAATAATAATAAAAAATAGTGATTTAAAAGCGCTTTATAATTTTTTTTTTTAAAATTTATTTAGCACTTTGTTTTGAAAATACAAATAATTTTTAACGAAGTTATTTTTTAAATTTTCTTTCTCTATTGTTATGTAAATATATTGATAAATTTCTATTTTATTTATTTATTATTTATTTTTAAATTAAGAAATCTTTCGTTATTTGCGTGATCATTTTTAGAAAATACAACAAAACTTGTGTTTACTTTTTCATTTAGAATTTGAACATTACAATGGAACTTAATAATTATGTAATTATCAAAGTTATTTTTATATGGCTCATTTAGTAAACTTATTTTTTATGGCTTTAAAAATTTTTTTCAAAATTTCATTCGCTTAAACTAATTGATTTTCAAATAATTCATAAGCCTATCGTTTTAAACTTTCCTTTATTTCTAGTTAAAAGCTTAGTAAAGTTACCTAATAATTACCTAAATTAATTAATAATTTAGGTAATTAGGTACTTAATTAGACTGCTAATACCTTATAAACGATAAAGAGGTGCAAATATTTCATTCTGTATCTACACATTTTTTCAATAAATATTTTAAGTAAGTTTTGTGCATAGTAGTCAATTTATTTAATATCTTTCTTAAGCAAAACATATATATCTTCAAACTTATAAATTGATTTAAATCAATTTGAGTATGGAGTTTCGATAGAAATCTGACTTTCTGTGCCTTACAAGTAAATGAAATTCAAAAATACTATATCGCGATGCAAAACAGACGATGCATATAATTTTATATATAATTTTTAATATCGCTCAGTCCTATTTATAAATATATGGCACATTTTAAAGACATTCTGAAAGCAAAGTTTTGAGTATTGTGAAAGAATACAATAAATCATTCGAAAATACTGTAAGAAGATTACTTACAATTTTTAAGTAAATGACATTACAAATTTTGCATTAACTAGATGCAAATTAATAAGAAGTTAATTAAAAAGAATAAAAGCTCAGAAGTGTCAACTTTTTAAACTAGCAATCAGTAATCAAAAGTACAGTTAGTGTTTACAAAATTCAAATGATCACAATTTTAAGGTGTATATATTACTTAATTCTATAATATACGAATATAATACATATTAATAAAATTAGGCATGAATTTACTTTTAAATAAATTAAATAAAAAATAGCACTTAGATAAAGGTAATAAATTAAAAATTATACAAAACTGAAACATAATACTTCATTATAAAATTACAATATTAAAATGATAACTTCAAATCAATGTTCTAGGTTTCAGTTACATTAGAACTAGATCTTATTTCCTTTTTGTCATTCTACATACTAACTTATATAGATTTTTTGCTTACACCATTTCAAATTTGATTTTATGTTCTTTTACTTTTCTAAATGGAGACAAGATTAAGTTTCAGAATAACTTGTTGGAAGGGGATAGATATTTCCTTGTCCCTTTTTTAAAAATTATTTCTGGTTTCAATTAAATCATTTTTGTTTTAAATTTATTGTTTTCAGAATTGTTAAAATAGTAGAAAAATGTTATTGCTGATTAAATGCAAACAAGAAAATTTCAGAACTCTTAGTAGTTGAGGGAAGAAAAGATTTAACTTTAAAAAGATTATTATTGAAATTCTCAAAATTTAATTTTTCATCACTAAATTGTAAGACCGCAACCTTGACTAACCTCTGAAGTAATCTTGGCACCTCTAAAAGTTATATATATATATTTTCAGACTGAATAATATACTTACCACATCAGCGCAATAGCACCTTTCAGGTAAATTAATAACCAACATAGGATTAGGAGTCCTTGTATCCCAAAACTAAAGAATAAATACAAAAATAAAAACTCACTATTATTTTTTAAGATTAAATATGGATTTTCAACAAATAAAAAATTAATAAAATACATGATCTTAATTCTAAAAATAATAAGAAATACAAACAATACTTTTTAGAATAATTAACAGACAGTGAAGCTTAGAGGATTACTAAAGGGCTAAATTGAAAAAAAAATCCATTAGAGAAAAACATTTGTTCATCTCTGGAATAGAACATAGACCCCAATATTTTCAACTATTGAATACTAAATGATCAACCATTTTGCAGTACCTTGACTTTATAATAAACATTTATTTAGCAATTGTGAACATACTACAAATAAGACTACTTGGTTAAAAAATAATTGTGTAAATTTATAGACTGGCTAATAAATTTATTAAGTTAAGTGCAATAGCAATTCTAAACAAATTAAATAAGACCACTAGTTATTTCAAAAATATTTAATGTGAAGCATGGAATCCCCCCCCCATTCTATTAAAAATAGTCTTAAAATTAGGTTTTATATCCAACAGTTGAACTAAGACATTTGGAATGGTATCTGGTTAAACTCTAAATTTAGTTTTGATGCCTCTCTTTATTGTTAATTTTAGTTATTTCATTTTAAACTATAAAATTGATGGGAAACACTATTGAACTTTTCTTTCTAGTGTATATACTTTATATAAATATATATATATTCAATGCACTGTAATTAAAAATAAAATATAAGTTTATTAAATTTTGCTATTTCTTTTTTCACTAGCATTTTACTTAAATAATTTCATTAAAATAACTAAATCAAATAAATAATGAATTATTGACTGAACAAGATAATTAAATAGTAATCAATACCATTTAGAGAGATTCAAAGAGTAAGCCTAAAAAAGTTATTGATTATCCCCAGAAAGCAGAATAATATCATTAATACAAGAAATCCAAAATGATACATCAACAATAAACTTTAATATCACTCAATAAAAAATATTCACAACACTTATAAAATGAGCACAATGTAAAATTATAATTCAGTGTTTATGACAGTTTGCTGAGATTAAATAGTTTAAAAAGGTTTTCATGCAAAAAGCAGCAAAGATACGAAGTTCATATTAATATCCATTAATAAAATTATTATTGGGTGTATTGGTATTAACATTGATTCTTTTAGCTTGAAGAATTGATGAAGAAAATTACAGATTCTATTAAAATTTCTATAATGAATGTGAAGAACATTAAGAAATATTTTTAGGAATTTCCTTTTCCATATTAAATGCCTCTTTTTTCTATATAAATTTAAACCACCGGTCTCTATTTTAACTAATTTATTAATAATTCACTCAAATAATGCATTAATTCTTTGGATCTCTTTACAAAAAATGTACTAGTACTTTTATGTTATATTACCTCTGAGGTATAGCATTATTTTCATTATCCTGTTAGTACAACTATTTTGTATTATCGCTAAAATTTAAATAGTATTTCACTCATAATTTAATGTATAAAAGATACTAGTATACTCTTAATAAATCAACTTCACTTTAAAATGCTCTATTGCTATAAAATGGGGTTACAACTGTTACAACTATCACCGATTCCAAAACTTAAATCTTTAAAAAAATTACGGTGTTTAAAACATTTGTCAACAGTCATTGTTGTGAATTTATACATTGTTTTTATACACTACGACATGTGAAAATCAAATCACGCATTTGATTATTCACTTTTAATGAGACACTCCCCTATTTTGGATTTTTTAGCAGTTTTGATTTCTTTACTGATTTACAAGTGGCTCTGGTATTTTTCATTTGACATTATGACGAGACGAGAAATTTGATTTGCACACTTAAACAATCTTATGTTCTTAAAGTATACAATATGTATATGCAGTGAAACTTCCAAGAAAGACCACCTCCATTTATGACCACTTTTGGGAGGCACAGAATTTTCCCATAGACTTTGAAGAAAACCTTTAGCAGAGACCATCACAGGGATGAGAGTAGTCAGAAAGTAAAAAAGAGGAAATCCAAGAATGAAAGAATATATATATATATTCACAAAAATTTGACGAGAAAAGTGCGAATTTTAAACTTGAAAGCCATGTGATTATAAATCTCGATGATTAATTTCAAAATTGTATGAAAATGAATCCCGATATGAGGCTTTTAAATCACGTGAATATGAAACTCTATATCGAATTTTAAAAAATGCGAAAATACAAATCATGATGCGTAATTTTTAGATCACGTAAATACGAATCACGATGCATAATTTTTAAATCGTGTGAATACAAATCACAATGTCTAATTTTTAAAGCATGTATAATTACGAAAATTGACGTTTGATATTACAACCGCAATAGCGAATCACGACATAGGAGTTTAAGATCGCGTGAATACGAATCGCTACATAGGGTTTTAAAAGCGCGTAAATACAAATCCCTATATTGGTTTTTTTAAATCTCGTAAATAAGAATCGCAATGTACGATATTTAAATCGGCTGAATCACAATGTTCAACTTTCAAATCCGGTAAATACGAAAATCGAGGTTTGATAATAAAATCGCGATTTTAAAAATGCATAAATACAAAACGCGATATTGGATTTTTAAATCTCGTAAATAATAATCATAATGCACGATGTTTAAATAGAGTAAATAAGAATCTTTTAACAACTTTTAATTTAGGTAAATACGGAAATCGATGATTGATATTAAAATCGCGTGAATAACAATCGAGATATTTGCAGAGTCTGGACTTGGGATTCCTAAAAGGCTTGTTTGTATTGTTTTTGTTTAGACCTAATAAATAGAAATTTTCAAGATTAATTGAATGAGCAAATAAATATTTTCACCGCAAATCCATGTATATATATATTTTTTTTCGTTTGCTTTTACGCCGGAGAATCGGAGTTTTTGATAAAAAGGCTAAAATTTGAGAGGAAAAAACGAAAAATCTCATCCCTGTATAAAGGTCAATCAGTTTTATCCCAAGGAAATGATTTTTAGAGAAACTTCAGAGGGAGGAAAAAGGACTTCAATGCTTTCGCTCCGCGGAAAATTAAATTCCTCATAAAATATTTTAACTTGTTCAAAAAAAAAATCCGCAGAAATTAGCGGGAAAAATCTGACAAAAAGCGGAAATCCGCGAAAGAATCACATCCCTGCCATCAAAACTTCTCCCAACGACAAGGTAAACCTTTGTACCAAATGCAGATAAGGTCAAATGAAGAAACACGAAAAAATAGCAAAACAAAAAATATTAACAAAACAAATAAGTGGATTAGAATTTATTCAAAATATTTTTGTGAGGTTCTTATTCAGAGAGCTCGTTTTGACAATCTCTGAAAGAGATCTACAATCTTATGTTGCAGTCAGAGTGCACTAACGCAATGCTTTCAATGATTTATTTTAAGATTTGAAAGATAAATAAGAAAAAGAAAATCATTTTAGAAAAAAAAGAAAAAAAATCAAAGCATTTCAAACAAACAAACCTCTTTTCCTTTTTTAAAGCTAACTAATTTCTATGATATAAAATTAAATACAATCTTAAACAAAAAAACATAATTGTTTATTTATTTAAAATAGTTCCATCATTCATACTTCGTAAATTTGTTTTTACTCATAATTATATTAGTAGGAATAATTTTTATTGACGCTCAATTTTATTCATCAATCCGATTTACATGATGCTACTACAAGTGGCATTTTGGCGACAAAAAAATGACACTAACTAAAATTAAAATCCTTTGCAAAAATCTTCAATAACATTTTGGAGTTGATAGAGGGACCCCTTAGATTTACCAACCTCCATTAATGACCATTCTAATGTGGAACTGAAAGTGGATGTTCTCAAGAAGTCTTATGAATTTTAAGGCTTATGTCAGACAATGTCTGCAATCACCAAAATGTCACCACATGATTCTCGTAAAACAAATTAAATAAAAAAGACATATGTACTATATAACGGCTGAAGGTAAAATGTTTTATGTTTCAAGTTCACCCACTACTGTGTTTTTAAGCTTTGCTGACCCTTTGTCATAAAAGTTTTGGTGCAGGTACTTAGAACTTTAAGAATTACCATTACAAAATGTTTTATAATATGTCAAAATTTTCAAATAAATATTATGACAAAAAGATTTATAAGACACATAAATACATAAACAGAGAGTCGTTGCTCCCAAGAGGTTTCACTGTATATAGATTTATGTTAAAGAATAGAATAATAAGTTTGCTATCAAGCAATATAATAAAAGATACATAATAATAATGATAATAAACCTTTAATGTTTTATCCCAGCTTCCTGTCATTATACAAGAATAATTAGAAGCTTTTATCCAATGAACTGTTTTCACAGGTGCATCATGCTAAAAAAGAAATTTCATTATATCACATTAAAAACATTAACACACATTTCAGTAATAATGATTGTATGGGTTTGGACATCCAAAATGAACTTTTGACAAGATAAGTAAGACAATGCATGAGAAGTTTTTTTTTATGTAGATTTAAATCATTAAATTAATAGGCAAATATATAAACAAATAATGGATGTATACTATATCCATAATTATGTATAAATAATCACATACTAATGTCTAGATAATTGTTACATATAATTAACAGTAATTAAAGTAAAAAAGTATAACTTTGCCAATGTTTTCATATTCTATTTTGTATGTACAAAAAAATATTTAAACAAAATAAATTAATAATACTTCAAGTATTAGAAAAAAAGCATAAATATTTGTCATTTTGTGTTTAATGTGATGGGATATCTAGGATTGTTTTTTAGTTTGATAATTCTTGGATGTTCAAAGTAGTGCAGGTCACTTTCAATTTATATTACTAAGTTGTTTGCATTTGTAACGCAATTGAGAGGCCTGACTTGCAAAGATTAGCCAACCCAAATAGAAACGACGCCTATTACAACTTTCAATCACTTATTGACAGAAATTGCGCATTAAAGGCAAAAATAATGCAACAGATTCCTCTCCAAATACATTTTTTGCATTAGGGATCACTTTTTCATGCAAGAAATTCATTTTGAACTAAATTAAACCTTTCACCATTTCCTCTATTTTCTGAAAATACAAAGGGGTCTGTAATGAATATAAAGTGCAATCAGACTGATATGGTTGGCCAGACTGATTTGGTTTGGAATCACAAAGTAAAGACTTTAAATCCTTTTTTCTTTCAATGTAATAAAATAGAAAAAAATTCTAGAAACTTCACTTGCATTATTTTAATTTTTAAACTCAAAGTCTCATAATTTACCCTTCTAAATAAGAGATGATGGAAAAAATAACAATTAAAATGTTAAAAACTATTTAACTTTAGAGCTTCAATAATAATAAACAACAAAACAGCTTCTTACAGACATTTTGTTAGTATATAGGGGTCTAAATTTAACACATATTTAAGTAATAACAAGCTTTTATTGAAACAAATTTTTTAGGACATATATTAAACTTTATAAAGAAAACATTTAACCATAAACATTGCAAATGCAAGTCGAATTTAAAATAAGAATAATATTTAAACATATGCAAAAAAGGTTTATATTTTTAAAAAAAAGGTTTGACATAGATTTTAGACTCATCGATTTTACCTATAGTTATAACCATCAAAAACTTGCAGACACAAGCAATTATGATTGTATCTACTAGAGGCAAAAGCATTTGGTTTGTTCTTCCCCTTCAAAATACTCAGAGGCTATTATTTATAGATCATCTTCCAAATAAATGCATAGCATAATAAATTAATAAAAGACCTTTTGGTCATAAAAATTGAAACCGGAGAACGCTAAAAAGGTTGGCCTAGAAAAATCTTCTTGAGAAGGCCGAGGTCCATCCTGGGATATTGAGCCATTGATGATGACGATGAAAATAAATTATAGTTATATAGTTACTTAAACAAAAATAAGATTATTCTTAAATGAAACTTAATTTTTTAAAAAATTCTCACTTTTTAAATTCATTACTCACGTTTTTAATTTGATAATCACAGTTTAAAAAACAAATGTAAATAAAATTACTTGAGCAACTGGAATGGCTTGATTACTGTTAAGGTCCCACATCTTCACTGTTTTATCACATGATGCAGAGAATACTTTTGATCCATCCTTTAAAAAAAAATGATTAAAATGGATATTTAAATAAGAGTGAGTAATCAACCTTGCATTATTTATTAAAGGTTATGATGGGGGTTGTTCAGTTTTTAGGGTATAGTGGAGATAGCATCATTGTGGTATTCAGCATATTTTTTCCATATAAAATACATTTTCTGTGGTTATGAAGGATGGATATTTATCCCAGAAAAATAAATAAAATCATTCAAGCAAAACTGATTAATCTTATCATAAAGAATATGGCCATATTTTTAAAATCATAAAATAAAAAAGGTGATGCGTGAAAGGGATCATTGATAGGGACCTTTGATCATAGCAGGAGAAAAATATATTCTCCCTCTCAACAAAAAGAAAATCTGGCATTTTTCAATAAGCTTACTAATTTTGTATCTGTAATATTAACATTTCAACATTGATTTGCAAAGGTGTGATAATAGTGGACTTTGTGTAATATTCTATAATTATTAAATTTAGCTTTTACTGAAGTTGGTTTTTAAAATATAAGTTAATCGCGCATGTTTTAGGAAAAAAAAGGAATAACAATATAAGATTGTTAATTAAGAAGATCAATAAGACCTATAGTTCATCTCTACAGAATAACTCATAATATTGTCGAATTAAAATGATCTACTATTCAAGCCTAAAAATTCACATGCAATGATTCCGTTTAGGTGCCATAGATTGTTTAATGTACTAAATGTCATAGACGGAACATAATTTGGTCTCGCTCGATCAAACTGGCAATTGACCACAAGTTTTAAGTAGAAAAATATTATTTCTTTAAGTAGAAAATTATTAAGTTCTGTATAACATAAAAATTATGCAAATATAGTATTACATCTTTGCTTTTCCTTAATGCATATGTTTGATTAGTTGTTTGTAATTAAAAGCATTCATTCATATAAAAAAATACTTTTCTCATCCTGTTGATCAATAGAGGAAATACTTATAATTGTACATAAAGAGATAAGGAATTTATTGTCGGCTCAATATTACAGATCATTTTTATTTATTAACTTTTTGTTATCTATGAGACTTCCTACCTTCTTTTATTTTAATATAAATTTTTAAAATCCTGTTTAAATTGCAAATTTATTTTATTTTAAGTAAAATGTTGCAATTTATGAAGATTTTGAAGCTTAACTTTTGGTAATAATACCATCTAAAAGTTAAGGTTCAAAATCATCAAAAGGCATGTAATATCTATTCTTCATGTGCATTTTTTAAAATGGGGATTTATACTGTTTTATCAGCTTTAGCTAAAAAAAAAAAAAAAAAGACACTAAAATTAGAGGGTACTTGGTCCTAAGGATCCAAAAAATATGCTTATTTAGAGAAAGTAAATTCCTATCATAATGAAATCTGATGAATTAATTTAGTTGAAAACTCATTTGATTTATTATTTCACTATATTTTCCTTTTCATCATAATTAAATACACACTAAGATATAAAAATGCACATAATATAACTTACATCACTCCAAGCAACATCTAAAATAGGACCTTGGTGTGTTTGCTGAGCTTTAGGAATTGTTTGCCCAGTGTTCTGAACTTCCCAACATCTGACCTGAAAAATTTACAATTATTTAGTTTTTTGAAAATTTTTAGATTTTAAATAAGAAAGGAATAAAATCTTAACATTTACATGCATGCCTTGTTGAACATGTAACAATGTGGAAAACACTTATTTTGTAAATGTTGAAAAATGTATTTGGTAACATATGAATGAACTATTAATCAGACCAATTTGATTAACAATATTATTAGTATATCAATAGGTATATTAATGTAATTTCAAAGCATTAAATATTATTAATTATTATTTTAAGGTATATTGTAAAAATAAACTCAATTTCATTGTTATTCAATATACTATTAAAATAAATCTAATTAGGATATAATTTTCTATGCTTTCCAGAAAGATAAGACAAAATATGATTATTAACTCCTTCTTTCTCGCACCCGTGAAAATGACGGGGTGAGTTTTCGCTCGATATTTCTCGCTCCCGTGAAATTTCTGGGCTGGAATGTTCAGTAGTAATGCGGCAATAAGAATAAAACTAATTAATTTCTTTTGCCCGGAAAACATTTTATTTTTCATTTTACACATCATATAGTAGTACCAGGATATTTTTTAGGTAATTCTAAATAGTTAGTTTATTTTAAACTAGATACTAGCACTAATCAAATACGTGTATTTGGCAAAATAGACACTTTTATGATCGTTTTCTTGAAAAATTAACCGATCATTAAGGGATTAAGTAGGAGCAAACAAAAATAAAAAACTTAATATGTATTTAGAAAAAAATATCTGCCCTGAACATAACGAAAGATTTGAAGCAGATGGTAAGCAAAACTTTAAAAAATAAATTCTGTAAACTTTATAAAATTACTTCGATTAGCTTTCAAATTTTATATTTATGATACACTGTTATTAGGATAAATTTTTTTTTAATGAAATAATTGAGATAACTTTGTTTACAAAGTTTTCAGTTGGATATTTATGTAACTGGAACTGGCAAGCTAACACTGGCACTAAAAGGGTTTGATTGGACAGGGCTATGTAATCTCTTTAAATTGGTCCCCTTCTGTGATGGTTTTGTTTAATTTCTTGCAGGTTGTTACCTTGAAATTAATTTCAGAATAGGTCTTCACATTTTTAATTATATTTAAGACTTTAGCTTTTACAGGGTTGCCACAGCAAAAAAGGAACAAAAACAGTTGCTTTTAGTAGCCTCAAGAAGGAAAATAGTTGAATAAAAATTCGAAAATAGTTGCCTGAACAGGGTCAAAAATTTATCAAAAATAGTTGCCAAATCTAAAATTATAGCTTATTTATCATATACTATGATTAGGACTGGGTGATGTCAGAAATTTTAAATCATGATACATCGCGATATAGCGATGTATCGGAATTTAGCATGTGTTGAAAAATTACCTATGGCAAATCTTTAAATCAGTCAAAAAGAAATAAATATATTACATAAGAAAATACTAATTCTAAACATATTCTACTATGACATCAATATCATTGCTTAATATTTTCAATTAAAAAATAAAGAAGTCAAGGAAAAGCAAACCCAAGTTTTATTTCATTATTCTTAAATTAAAAATGATTTATTGGTTTAAAAATAACACTATAACAAAATATTTAACATACATGCATTAAAAATTTAAAGAAAAAAAAAAACGGAAGTAGAAAACAAACCAAGGAAATGTTCACTTTGGAAAAAAAAAATTTTTTTTAAAAATTATTTGTTGAAAAAAAAAATCATGCTTTTGAAACATCTTTAGACTCTCTTTTATTTAATTATTTAAAATAATAAAAAGTAGCATTGATTAATGGTCAAATTCTGTACTTAATAAATGTAAAAATATTTTTTCTTTATTATTTTCCTTTCTGAAAATAAAATCGACTAAAGATTATTTGTTTAAAAATGATACTGACTATCCAAAAATTTATAAAACAAACAAGTATTGAAAGAATTTTAATAAAAATTTAAAAAAAAATACTTTAAGCACTAATGTTAAATTATTAAAAAGCGTCAAAACATTACTAAACTGTTTATTTAATTTTTAAAAAAATTATTTGTTTTAACTGCACTACCACATGGTAGGCAGCAATAAGTACTTGTTAGGGGACTGAAAAGTAATGTTCATTTTTGCGAAAAAACTTCGCTAAGAGTAAAAAGTCTTCCAATAGTCACCTATTCCTGAAAATAGTAGCTTTTTTAGCCTTTTCAGGCAAAAAAAAGTCGCCTAAGGCCGAAAATAGTAGCAAAAAGTCGCATTTTAGTAGTCTGTGGCAACCCTTCTTTTATCAACCATTTATAGATTTCTTTTATTTTCTCTCCCTTTCCTACAGTTCATTATGTCACATCCCAATTTATAAATTCTATTATTTAATCCAAATAACACTTATAAACTATTAATTAATTTTGTTTTATTATTTGATATTTCTTCGTTTTTTAAAAGAATTTCTTCCACTTGGGTTGAAAGAAATTTATTCCTTGAGGTTATTTTTTTTCCCCATTCTGGAAGAAACGTGTCTTCCTCGGTTTAAATTACAATAATCAAATAATATAATAAAGAAGTTTTATGGCAAACCTGATTATCCCAGCTGCCAGCAATTAAAAAATTTTGGGGTAAAGACGCAGGACTAAATGCCAAACTGCTGATGGAATCATCCGGAGGAGATACAACTTCATAATCTTTCATAGGATTTTGGGTAGCAGTGTTAGAACCAAAGACGGTGTTTGAACCGAATCCACTGGAACCAAATAGACTCATTTTGGCAACCTAAAACAAAAATAGAAGAATTTAAGTTAATATATAATTCTATAAGATTGAGTAATAGAGACGCAATTAACTGTAAATTGACAAGATACAAATTCGTATTGTTATTAAGATTTATAATATTATTAGTGCTTCGAAGTAAAAGCAAACATTTTACCAAATTGTGTATTGCACAGTATTCAATATGTTTTCATTATTTACGAAAATATATTTATCAACAAATAATATTGTGAGCTTAAACTATTTCGCACAAACTATGACAAATTTAAACAAAACGGTCAATCACAATACATCAAATTTTCACAATACGATAAAATCGAAATATTAAATATGACAACAAGTGCTAGATAATTTGTAAACATACGCTTTAAGCTTTGTTTGACTTTTTTTGAAGTGGACAAGACGTAAGGGTGGGGATAAAATTACTGTGGGATCACCCTCAGTAAAATAAAATCAAAATATTTAACCTTTCAGGCAATTTTGTTTTGTTTTTAAGTATCAATTAATTTATCAATTAATAAAAAAAATGTTTACGTTTGATGGCAAATATAGTTGTCTGTTAACCGTGTACATGTCAATAAATTCCTGAAATTCCTAGGAGTGGTATGAGTTGACGGGCAGTGTTGTTTTCATATTTACTTGTTTGTATATTCTTTGATGGATTATTAATATAAAATACAACTGCAAGATTTAGCATTGACGTTTCTATTTTAAAGATAGAATATATTTTACATGCTACAAAATTTGATCTGTCTTGCTTCCTATGTTTGGTGAGTATTGTGTTTGTTGATCTGCAGATATTACATTGTTCTTAAGTGCTTGCAAAAATGTGTTTGCAATATTAGTTATTTTAATTGAGAGCTGTACATTATTGTTTAAGATGAACTATGCTTAAAAAGTGCAGGTATTTCGGTAAATTTAACTGAATAGTTTAGTGCTGGAAAGAAAAGCATTTTCTGATTCTTTTTGTATTGTCTTCATAATCTTAGTGGAAGCTTTTAATTTATTAAATACTTATTATTTATTAAGTTAAGTTTAATAAGTATTAATTTATTCAATACATATTTCTTCAAATCAATGTATGAGTCAGACATTTGAAGCATATAAAAGTAAACAAAATGTTGATGACGCCAAGTTGTTTTCTTGAACTTAAGTCCAATCATTTGTATGTTTTTTATTGTTGTTTTGCATTTTATTCAGTGCAAGTGATTGTGAAACTTGTAGTTATCGTTTGCCTGATTTTTGTGGAAGTTGTTTCATTCAGTTAATTAAGAAATCTTCAATAAGTTTGAAAAGTAATTTTTAATTTCTGAAAATATTAAATATTTTGCAGTCAATTTTTTAAACATATAGAATTAGGCCACGTGCATTAAGATGTGTAATCAAAGTTTGCCAATCTTCATTTATAGCAAAAAGAAACCTTAGTGTTTTTGTAAACCTACTTATTACCCAACAAATTACCCTTGTGATATTAAACGTAGGTGTAAAGAGATTTCTTAAACGAATTAGGAATCTGTTATAAACCATTGATGTATAAAATTAAATATGGTTGATCAAATGAACTAATTCACTTCAGAAATCTCATTCTCAAAACTTGATATAATTACTATGTAATATTACTGCACTATAGAAAAGAGAATTGTTGTTAAAAACTAATGCTTTGATTTATTGTTAAAAAAGTAAATAAAAACAAGAAATGGACACACTTATCTAGTTTGCTTTTGTTTTGAACAACTATTCTGAGTTAAAATACAATTGTGCAATAAACTGCTTTTGCATCAAAATTATAAATTGGATTGAGAGTCTTTGGCAGGGTTTATGCCAGTGCAGTTTAAAACCTGCAAAACGACATTGGTTTAAACCCTGTCATATTTCAAATATGAAAGCAGGCCTTTTTTTTCAAATATTTTACATAATTAAATATTTTACTATTTGTATAATTTTTTCAATATCATTGCAGCATAATGAAAACAGATGAAGTTTTCTTGCATTATTTACAATTTTAAGTTTAATTGCTAATGGAAATCTGCTTAATTTCAATAATCTGCAATTTTTATGCCAAAGTGATTTTCCACAAAAATATCTATGTTAAACAGGAGAGACTTTTTGTTCGGAATTAACAGGAGAAATTTGAAGAAATTAAAATTGATTAATTAATGCAAATGTTTAACCAAAAGTATTATAAGAATGATTCAAATTTGAACAAATTAAATTTAATATTATAACAGAAAATTAAACATTTTTCACATTTTCTATTTTTATAAACAAATATGGGAAAAAAATATTAATTTTATCTAGAATTTTAATAGCTAAAAACTCATTGGTTAAAACAGTCTATAGTTATAATAAAATAATATAATGTAATAAAATAGTTAGTCTTTTTTTAACACTTCTATTTAGTTTTGTGTTTAAATATTTTCTTTATATCTAAATATTGCATTAACGCAGTTTCATAATATTGTTTCATTCTGGTAATATGAATGTTTATCTTGGTTAGAATTTTTTCATGTTTTCTGAAACAAATCTCAATAGCACTTATATCTTTCTGCACGATGTTTATTTTTGTAATAAATGTATGTTTAACAAATTTATATTAATAAAAGTGCTTTGTATTTTGAGAAAAGGCCTGCATGTATAAAATAAAATTATCTAAGCTGTTTTTTTAATGTATAGTTTAAGGTCTAAATGTTTATTGACAGGGTTGAGGTTTAGGACGTCCTAAACTAGTTTTGGACAGTACATGTGGATTTTACTGGCTTAAACTGTCCTAAACTGATTAAAACTGCCCGCAACTGTCTTACAGTGACTAAAATCTTGAACTTTGGTAAAAGGTAAAAATTCTATAGGTGTAACTATTCCACACATAATAATTACATATATTAATAAATACTTGATACTTTTTATACAATTAGCTTGAACTTATTAAAGGAGAATGATATAATAAGAAAAGATTTATAACTTTTGAAGCTCCACAATTCATTGAACAACAAAAGTGAATATCTTATCGGTTTAAATATGAATAAATATGCTTTTAATATTGATAAATTATGTTCTTGCATATGGATAAATAATGCAATATTATAAATAGTAATAAATTTATTTTTTAATAAAACAATAACATGCCTTTTTATTTCTTTTTCAAAAACTAACCTTTTATTTTTCATAATATTTTTTTAAAAATTTGACGTAATTTGAATAAAAGGGCTTTGCACAGGACGACTTAAATCGTGGATTAATCCATTCTGTCCTAAACCTTGCCAGCCCTGTTTATTGGAAGTAATCTTTTTAGATGAAAAATAAGTAAAAAGACTCATGAGGTGAGGAAAATGTAAAAGTTGAACATTACAAAGTTAAAATATTTTTCTTAATCATTTGAAGCATGGTAAACAATTGGCTTTTGTATTCTCTGTGTTTACTACTTACGTTANGTGTACAATGGTTACACCTACAGAATTTTTACCTTTTACCAAACCTCAAGGTTTTGGACACTTTAAGACAGTTTAGGACAGTAAAACCCACGTGTCCTGTCCAAAACCAGTTTAGGACGTCTAAAACCCAACCCTGCTTTTGTATTCTCTGTGTCTACTACTTACGTTACGTACTTTGACAATTATAAAATTTCCAGAATCTTGTTCACGTGAAAATTCAAAAAGTGTACAGCATATAAACCAATTGTTCTGAATGAAATCTGCACCTGCAGAAATGTTTTTTGTGGAGCAACTTATGTTTCTGCTAAAATTGGGCTGAAAAGAAAACCAAAATTTTTTGTTTCCTAAATGAAAAATCTTTCTGCAAGAATTCTTGTAACATTCTGTGACAATGTTGCTGCTGGTATAAATGTTATTTGCCGCAAATTTACCAAATATTATGGTTTACTTTCCTGACATGAAATAATACTACATCTTTATTTAATTATTCTTAAATTACAAACAAATATCAACCTATAGACATCTTTAACACAAAATATATATTAGAGCATATGTTTTATGATGTATCAAAAATTTTAGTTCATTGCTATAAAGAGTTTATTTCAATAGTGGGGCTACTTTATTTATTTTGAGATTAAGAGCCTTAAATCTCTAATGTTTTTATTTAAATTATTTACCATTTCTGTATTGCTCATTTTTGTTTTTTCTTCTTGCAGATATAAAGATGAATGATATGACTCTATGCGAGTAAAATTAGATGTTCTACTGAGACAAATTGAAACATTGAATTTCACTGTGGACTAAATCAGATTTTGTATTATGCAAGATGCGGACTTTTCAGCAGTTTAGGTGCTATGGCTCAAGAGTTCCTCCCACTCTGCGATGTTCTATTTAACATCATCTCTCTTGCTTCTTACTTTTGTGATATAGTATTTGATGTTGTCTCAATCTATACTCTCTATGCCTCCGACCAGGTTACCTGGTTTAGCCTTTCTTTGTGCTGTGTTATGTTTTCATTATTTATTAGTCAAATATTATCCTTTAAATGGTATTTCCATCGAAAGAGTGGCAAGAATTTTAAATTTTCAGTTATAGCAGCTATCCATTTAGTGCAATTTGGAGTTTTATGGAGATATTTTAAGCTTTTTCTTCCTGTTAACCTTGGTGTGGTAAAGAATGAAGTACGGGATTTATGCATGTTGAGGCTCATCCACGCATTTTGTGAAGCCGCGCCTATGCTACTCATCCAGCTTTATCTGATATGGCTGAAACCATCCTCATCCGAAGTGACAGATTTAAATCTAGTGTCAACTTTTCTGTCACTGTTTAGTGTATGCTGGGCCTTAGCATCATTCAGCAAAAATGTTCGGAGGCGCAATATACATAAACTTGTTCTAACTTGGCTTGGGGTTATATTTCAATTTTTTTGGAGGCTTGGTACTGTGACATCACGTGTGGTAGTGCTAACTGTTTATGCTACAGTTTACCACTATTGGGTGTTTTTAGTGATTATATTACATTGGTTAACCATGTTTTTATGGTTAATATCTCCAAAAAATGTTTTTCATGGTGAAGCTATCTCTAAAAAGAAAAAGTCTGTGTATTCAATGTTGATTGCATTTGTATATATATTTTGTTACATAAATTTACAAGAGATTAATTCCCGCCAAAAGATGTTTGCATTTTATCTGATTATGTTTTTAGAAAACTCATTGTTAATGGCTGTGTTTCTGTTTCTTAAAGGACAAGTTGTGTGGTATCATAAGATATCGATTATATTTGCTTGGGGTGGTTTTTCATTGGGCATCGTATTCATGATATTGTATTACCGTTTTTTTCACATTCAACACCTGAAACATAGCTTGGCATCTCATACTGATCTAGAATCTCACTGTACTAATTGTGCATCAAGTAACTGTGATAATCACAATGGCAAGCCAGCGCTTAGTGATAGTGATGCTTTAACATCTGATGGGAAGTCCATGCCTGATACTCCTTTATCAAAATCTTATAATTCTACTGTTTTTCAGCCATCTAATGGTCATTTCCAGAATGGAATGGTAACAGGCATACCTGGTGTTTTCAATTGTCGTCTCAATCCTGCCTTTAAGAGAAAGAAAAAGAAACCGTCCAGTTTTGTGCCTCCTCCTGCTCCTGTTTCAGCCTTGAACAACAACAGCAAGACTATTAATCCTTTTTGGAAAAGATTGCCACATAAATCTTGCAGTAGCGACCACGAGAGTAGTGTTGGTTCTCGTGTCAACATTCAGCAGAAGCTACAGGAGAAAAAGAAACAGCAACTGCAGGAATTAAAGGAAATAGAGGAAGAAATTAAACAAGGAAAGTTGAAACGACCCCATCCCATGGAAATCGGAGATCAAGATACTCTTCACCAACCAATACCCCATTCAAAAAAGCAACCATGGGTTCGTCCTGAATCACCCGTTGCACGTTTGCCATTATATCATTCATTAATAGGACCCCATATTTTTAGTGGCATTCGACCTAAATCAAAGCAAAGGTCACAAACACCTGAAATATTGTTAGTTCCAGAAACTCTGGATTGCTCAATGATGTACTGTGATTATCAGGAATCTCGAAATACTTATTTAGCTTCTCCGCCTCATGTTGTCTATCCAAGAATATCCGATGTCTCGAGCAATAGTAATTTATCGGCTGCATCTAAAACTAAAATATACCCCCGTTCTCGAAATCAAAATACTGTACGTGATACTCCGTCCTGCCGTTGCCCGCCTCCAGATACTGCAATGGGCATGGCATATAAATCTCATAATATACCCTCTGACCTTGATAGTCAGATATCTCTGCCACGTTCTTATACTCTTCCAAGAGAATTCAGGTACTATAGGAGACCTAGACCTCGAAAACCAGTACGTAATGAACATTTTGTGCCGTCTAATAATTCGAGCGATGGTGATGTAGATTCTGCGGATGACAATGAAACTTATGTGCCTTTTCCAAACAACCGAGTGGGAGCCCCTATTCGCTTAAGACCTTATCAACCACCTTATAGAGCTTGTGTTGCTGGACAACTTCATGAAACAAAGTTGTAAATCAAAATTGTATTTTTTTGTAATATAGAAGAGCTTTATTTTTTTATTACAGTATTTAAGTTTGTATATATGTATACATTTTTATATGAAACAATTTTTGGCACGTTTTAGTGCGACATTTTTTGTAAATTTTTTACATTAAAATATTTTTACAATAATTTATTTATTTGTAGCAGTTTCTTTTTTTTTCTTTCTGGTTTATATTTTTCTATGTCACTTGTTTTGAGGTTTTTTTTTATATATATGAATATCTGAATGAGTAATTTGTTCCATGTAAGTTGCATTCTAATTAGCTTGGGCAATTGATGCAAAACCAAATTTGGATAATTTAATAGTAGCTAAAAAAAACATTTTTTTAAAAGAAAATATATAGAAATTAGTTTATTGATTGCAACAAAATATAAAAATGTGTATAATTTTCTATTCCTTCAGAAGGGGAAGTTTGCTGGAAAGTTTTAACTTATTTAATGTGGTCTAGTGAAACACAGAACCAATGAAGTTCTGAATTATTTAATTAGTTAGTAGCTTTGCAAATATGTAAGGAGTTAAAAACTGTTTGATTTGTTTTAGTTTAAAGTGCAAAGATCTTCTTTCTATTTAGATCACTGAACAATTCAGTCAAATCAGTTAAATAATATTTTTTATTAATAAACTTTTATTTGTTCTGGAAATTATTATAGCTCTGTACCAACTGTACTTTTTTATAGAAGATGAAATATGGTTTTGGAAATTGGGAATCTGGTGCGTTTCATGCCTAATATGCTCATTCATTTGAACCAGAGTAATAGACCACAGACCAGGGAATAGACCCTGTTACTGAATTATTTTGTATCTACTATTCTCCCTACAAAAATATTTTTGTAAGGAAAAATAGAGAATTTTTTCCAGATAAAAAATTGTGATGCTGTGTGAAAGATAAGTATTGAATTGTTCTAAATGTCGTTCAGTTCATATTGAATACGTTAAAGCAACTTGCTGTCAGGGGCACTGGGATTAAAGGACGTGGGAGGTGGAGCTGGCATCCCAAACATTTTTACTGTTCGGCAAATTTTGTTGGTCATTCCGCTTATTTGTTCAAATTCATTTTCTCTTAGTTTGTTGAAAAACACAGATGAATTTATGGACAACTAGTTTTATTTTGTTAAAATTTCTAATTTATTTGAAAATAAACAAAATTTGAAGCTTCTACGATTAGGGAGAATAGCAGCGGGTGTATCCTTTAATGTAAATAAAGTATAAAAAATATCGACATAAAGGTTAAGGTATTAAATTAAACTTAGAAGAAAAGAATGGGACTGAAGCTCTTACAAACACCCTTTGATGTTACAAGACAAAAAGGTAAAAATTCATTCAAACTGAGAATTATCAATAATAATTTTATAATAATTATTTTCATTTCATCTGTTTGTCGTCTGGTTTTATTCGGTTTACTGAATTATCCTTTATTTTTATGTATATTAACTGGAAATGTTAGGCACCTTTGCTGTAGGAGTATCTAAAAATATTTTAATAAGTTCAGTAAACTTTTTATAATAAGTAGTTTTTAATTCTATTTTCTTAAATTTTTAACTACGGAAACATAATTATTATTATTCTAAAGCACGATTCACAGAATACATGTTTCATTTCTTTCCAATTACTTAATTTGGTATTCGATTAATGAAAGAGTGAAACATTTTCTTCCGTTTTTGCAGCAAATTAATTTTCTTTTTTATATCTATCTATTAAATGGTTCATGATTTGTTTTATTCAGGGTTGGGGTTTTGGACAGGACACCTGGGTTTTACTGTCTTAAACTGGGTAAAACTGTCCTAAACTGGATAAAACTGACCAAAACCTAGAACTTTGGTAAAAGGTAAAAATTCTATAGGTGTAATCATTGTACACATAATAATTACATGTATCAATAAATATTTAATATTTTTTATACAATTTACTTTAACTTATCAAAAGAAAATATTATAATATATTAGGAAAAGGTTTATAATTTTTGAACCTCCATAATTCATTGAACAACAAAAGTGAATACCTAATCCTTTAAATATAAATATGCTTTTAATACTGATAAATAATATTTTTGCATAAGGATAAATAATGCAATATTAAAAAATAATAATTTTTTTTAAAAAAAATACTAAATTTGTTCAAAAATTAACCTTTTATTTTTCACAATATTTTTTTAAAAAAATTTTATAATTTCTGCATCACAGGATGATAAAAAAGACATCTATTTTTAAAAAAAATTGTTTTTAAATATAAATATATTAGTTTAAATTGAAAATACAAAATAACTGAAAAATGTATTAACAGTTTTGAAGGGCATAACATCAGTTTCAGTTACTGACACTGGTGATGTATCACCACTATGCTAAAAGAATTGAACATGAATGAAATAAAAGTATTCTTGAATAGTACTATAGATAAATAAACCTGTTTATGACGAACCAAGCACTTAGTCCCTAATATTTTAACCTGTATGGCAAGGCCAAACTTCAGTTATGTACTATTGAATGAGAGGACCAATTGAACTTGATTACTGATTAATCTTCCTTTGTTTAAATTGAAGAGTCAAACAATATTAATAAAACATTATACTTTTAAAAACAAATATTCTGTAGTAGATTTAATTATCAATATGTTATTAGTTTTATGTTTATTTTACCTCTTAAATATTGTTCAGATAAAATTGTGGCATAATTTGAGTAAAAGTGTTTTGGACAGTTTAAGACAGTTTTGGACAAAGGGGTTTTGGACAGGACGGTTTAAACCGTGGATTAATCCATTCTGTCCTAAACCTTGCCAACCCTGGTTTTATTTATTGTCTGGAATAAAAGCAATAGCCCTTTGTGTGCCAGGGGGTTCACGGAGGCTATGAATCGACGATGTGGCAATGTGATCAGCATTGCACACAAGCAACCTTTATTTCTCAGGCAAATTGGTGCCTGTCCATCTGAAGCTAGTTTGGTTTCAAGCTGCCGTTATGAATGGAACCCCTGTTCTTCACTACTGTTCAATGTCTTTCCCATTGACCAATCGCTCCTCATTGACAAAATAATTAAAGTCGTTAAATCAGTAATATATTGATGGAAAAATTAACTTATTGTGAAAATATTTGCAACAAAATAACTTTTTATTGAAACTAATGAATTACCTGCTTTTTAAAGATTCAGTCAAATACGAAATATAATTTAGCAAAATAAGAATTTCCCCCTCCCAAAAATATAACTTTGCGGCGCCCCTGTTTGTAGTGGCTCTGTGTTGCGTAACTCTCTTTATCTTATTCATAAGCCATTATTTTTTTAAACACCATTGTCGTCCATTATTTGTTTTCCTCTTCCTGTAAAGTTATATGGTTGGATTTTGGAATTCTATTGCAATAGTTGATATTATGGTGTTAACTGTAAATAGTAAAGGCTACTTTTTCAGTAATGGCTTTGGGGAGGGGATTGAACGTCGTATAAAAGAAATTCAAACACATGCGAATTCATTGAAACCTTCGGTTAAAGAATGCTGCATATGTGTTAGCACTACAGCAAAGGCCTTCTTTTTAATATGCTTTAAAATATACCAGAGATGTCAAGCAATTTTAAACTGATGGAATAGTGTCTTTTTTTTAAAAATTTCGTTTTCATTATAAATATTTGCTCATTTTCAGGTGATCTTCGAAACCATATGAGAGGTTTACCCAGTTCTGCTACGTAACAAGCCCTGCTTGAAAAAGGAACAAGCAGGCTTCAGTACTGAGATTTATTTCCTTAGATTTTGGAGAAACGTGAAGCATTAACGTTTTGGCTGTTAGCTCTGTTATCAGTTAACTTCTCTGAATGAAACAATGAAAAGTTACCACCCTGAATGGATTGGATGCTCACATTCTAGGACTCAATATTAATTGTACGATAAGGTGTTCTCAAATATGTTAATTAGTGCAGGCGATATTTTAAGTGACGAAATCAGACACAGAAACCTTTTCTGAATAAACACAGTTTTTTTCCGACTGATTCGGATTTCTTACCCTGAAAATATAGGGCACAGCCACACTCTGGGAAATATGGTCCCAATAGTTTTTTCTGGAGCGCTCCAAAGTTTGGACTCCTTAATGTTAATTTAACTTTTTGCGTATTTCACTATATCTCGAGAACTTTTTAAGCGAATTGAAAATTTTTTACTCCCAACTATAAAATTCGTTTATTCAAAAATACCAGGCAAAAAGTAATTTTAGTAAATATTTATTATTTTTTTTAATAATGGTTAAAAATATTTTGAGTTGTGCGGTATAGAATTTTTTGCATCATTTTAAAGAACATAACTTTACATTGCAAAATACAAAATTTGAACAACATCGGTTGAATAGTTCCTGAGAAATCGAATTTTAAATATCTGGCTTTTTTGAAATTTAATTTCCCAGGAAATATTCAACCGATTTTGCTCAAATTTTGTATCTTATGATGTAAAATTATATTCTTTTAAATGTTTCAAAAATTTGTATACCTTACATTTCAAAATTTTTTCAACCTTTAATAAATAAAATTATAAATATTTATTGAAAGTTATTTTTTGTATGTAATTATCTTTGGATAAACGAACTTTATAATAGGGTGTTAAAAATTTTCATTTCGGTTAAAAATTTCATGAGATATGACGAAATACGCAAAAAGTAAAATTAACATTAAGGGGTCTAAACTTAAAAACGCTCTTCTGGTCGAACTATTGGGACCATCTTCGCCAGATTGCGGCTACCCCCTATATTTTGGGAATCGAAAATCCGAATCAAACGATAAAAATGTATGTTTATTCAGAGAAAATACGTTTCTGTGTATGATTTTATAAGTTAAAATGTCGTCTGCACTTAATAATTAGCATATTTGAAGTCACCCTTTTGAACTGTTATGATAGAGTCATAGAACGTGAATATCCGATCATTGGATCAAAAGTTATTCAGGCACTATTCAGGGTGGTCTATTTTTTATTTTGCACACTGTACATCATATAGTTAGATATTAAAAAAAAGTGCTGAAATAAGCATTTATATTTTAAACAGACGCTTCATAATAGCAATTATAATTGAATAAGCAAATATCCTTCCTTCCTTTGTAATTAACCAAAGTTCTGACAAACGAAATAAAACAAAATCGAAACTTAAGTATATAATTGCGCGTAATCGGAATGATCTCTGGTATTAAAACTTCAATAAACAAATAAATTACAAGCGATATACAAAATATACTGGTTTACAAAAAAAATTTTTGAATATAAATTAAACTACTTTTTAATGATCAACACTGATTACGTGCAATGCTTATGTACGCTGAGGAGAGGGTTTAATAAAAGGTCTGCCTTTATATGTATGGGTGTGGGGATATCAGAAAATAATACCTATGAAGACCGCTCTGTCAATAGCGTGTTTTTCAAAATTTCCCCTGGAAAAGTGAGAAGTCCTTCTCCCCTATATTAGTCTTGAGTCGTGGTGGCTCAAGATATAGAGCGTTCTCCTTCCACTGTAGTGAACCGGGTTCGAATCCCAACAATAGCTGGTAGATACGAATTCTGCACCCTGCTCGCATTGATGTAAACTATCCTCAGTGGTAGACAGATCATGGGTTAGAGTCCCCTTACCGTCAGGCTAATCGTAGGAGGTTTTCCTCTCCATGTAACGCAAATGCGGGTTCCATAAAAAAAAAGTCCATAACGAAGGCAAACTTCACCCAATACTTAATCAAGGAGTTCCCTTGTCTTCTGGATTGGTTTCAAAATTTTAAGGCTATTGAGTTGAACATTAGTTGTCGTAAACCCAAAGCTGGGTCGGCTGTTATAAAATATATTATTACCATCACACGTTTTTTTCTTTCAAATGCGTTCATGAAGAACATGGGAAGAAAAATGTTAATACAGAAATTCAAATGTCTCCAAAATCCTAACTGTGCGTATCTAAATATAATATGCTGCTAACTCCTTTGACAAATTACTTTTCAAGAGCATGAATTCTAATACAGCACAAGTCACCCGTTTGACGTCCAGATTTCTACCACAGAGTTCATTAGGCGTTATGGATTATGCATGGAACATTACTAGAAGTTTTCCTATTGCTTAATTAAGGATGACACTTTGCGATTATATCATACAATGCAATGCAATGATTAATTCTCTGCGGGACCACTGAATTTTTAAATAGCATGAAAATTAGCTAAAATTCTTTTCTTCGGAAGATTTTCCAATAAAATTAAATTGCAATTAAATAATTAATACATTTTCGTAAATTGTAAAAAAGGATTTTTTGTAATAAAGGAACAATAAGCTCTTTTCTAAATCCTTTTAGCATAACAAAAAATAAAGTGTTTTATTCTCTAATAAAATAAAACAAAGTAAAAACTTATCACTAAGCAATAAAAAAATTATAGTACAAAAGTAAATATACAAAATTTTAACTTATTCAGGATTATTTTTCCATTTCATCGTTTAAAAAATCCCAACAATGCTTGTTATTCACCTTATTCCAGACAGTGTTTCACGTTCTCCACAAGGAGGCAGTATTTGCAGAGGTTGTATCAACTTAGGTAGAAGAATTTCGGCTGGTGTAAACTATATTGCGTAAATTCACATCTCAATGATCAGGTAAGCACATTAGTTTCCTAAAGTACTTTTTTCATATCTTCATCTGATATTTTAAAATATGAATAAATTTTTTCACAAGAACAAGACTCAAATATTTAGAACTACTGAGTACTCCAAGTATTTACAGACAACCCCAGAACATCAAAAAGCGAAATGGTCGCGTTACTGCTAAGGAGTCAGAAGAGGATCTCAAGACTTACGATTATGGTGACTAAATTATAAGCATAATATCAAAAACAGGACTGTCTACAGTTTAGAATGCATAAGTTTAGTTACAATAGTCTGTGTGATGACCATAGCGATCGTCTAAAACAAGAGGCTTAGAGGCGCATCAACAGAACAAGCCTGTCCATGATGAGCCGTTTGTCAATTGAGATAAGCTCAGAACTAATGAAGGTGTTTTGATAACGAAAATAACCGATTAATCTATAACTTTGTGAAATGTATTCAGAAAATTTTGCCGTTTCTTTGTGGCAACGATGAGGAGTAAACAAAACACCCAATGCCAACAGAAAGTTTACAATTATATATTTCAAATTATTTCTATTCTGATCCAACATTAGTAAAAACTATTAAAATTAAGATAACATTTTAAGTTATGCACCGCATTAAGATAACATTTTAAGTTATGCAGATTGATTTAAGTTTCTTACACCTACAGATATTACTTATTTTAGCAATTTGACTGTAAATCGATATTTTGCATTAGATTAAAATATTATTAGAATACTATTGAAAACAATATTAAAGTTTCTGTTTTAAAGTCTGGAAAGTAAACTTATTTTAAAGTCCGTGTTATAATTACAGCCTGGAAAAATTGAAGCATTTTGAAATGCGTGCGAATATGTTAAAGCCCAATTCTTAACGTAAACCTTTACTTTTATTCGTACCCAAATGAATAATTTTTTTAATTTAAATATAAATCCATTAAGGCTAATATTTTCATTAGTTAAGCCTAATGTGGCAGATCTTAAATTCAAAATGCGCATGCTCCTTTCCATCAATAAACCAGCCAAGGTTTTCTTTGACTGAATCAGACGTCTGCTGAATTTGAATGGCTGTTTAATGGATGTTCACGTGGCAATCGCATGATGTCGACTACAAGGATCAGTTTACATTCATTGGAAGATTACTGCTAGGTATTATGGGTATAAAGTATCTACATAGCACAAAGACCGCTCACTCTTAATTTTAACGCTTACCAACCGAATGAGTGTTACAATTTTTGAAAACAGTAATTAAATTAAAATTGTTTATTAAAACAGAAATTACAATCAAACGAATTTGGCTAGTTCTTGTGCTGAATCTTTTAATTTATAAGTCTTCACTGCTATGTCTTCATTAGAAATGAAGTTCATCAATCCAGGGCCAGTAGGAAATTTTTGTCCAGGATAAGATTTGGACTTCAGAGGGAATTTTCCGATTCCAGAAAACTGGCCCTTCTTGAAGGGTTCTTTTTTAACATCCCTAAAATAAAAAGATAATGTATCAGAATTTTTAGTCAATCTTTGCTCAATAGTATTTGGGAAAACTTAAAATTTTATCACAAATTATGGATAGAATAACAGTATGTGACGCTATTAGTAATCCTATTTGAAGTTTCAAGAAACCGAACGAAAAAACGCATTTTGCCCTACACCGCTTATGGAGGTACTAATTTCATTTGATTGGATAGTTTTTTTTATAACACAAAAATGTAGTATTGGCTATATTGCAAACTTTAATGATTGTATTTTATGTAATCTGATAAAATTGATTTAAGTCTAACCCGAGTAGGGGAAAAAAGAAAAGTGAACCACATTAAGTGGTATGATATACAAAATTAAAGTTCTAAAAAGCTTAAATGAAGTGAAAATTTTCTACGAGTGAAAACTACTAAATTTGCNGCTTTCCACAATTTTGATCCCTTGCGGAGGGGATGGCACCCCCGCTTCGGTAGCCCGACGACCTGCACGCGAGTCTAGCACTTTACGGTAGCACAGTTTAACGAGAACCAATACCGCACACCCTCGGTCCCTACGCAGACTGATCCAAGTTTTCACCCACCCGCACACTGACAGCAGCCAGTGATGCTCGACTTCGGTGATCTGCTGGGAACCGTGTCTGAACTATCAGTCCACTGTGGGACTGCTATATTGCAAACTTTAATGATTGTATTTTATGTAATCTGATAAAACTGATTTAAGTCAAATCTGAGTAGGGGAAAAAAAGAACAGTGAACCACATTAAGTGGTATGATATACAAAATTAAAGTTCTAGAAAGCTTAAATGAAGTGAAAATTTTCTACGAGTGAAAATTTTTTATATAAGCTTTCAGTCAGTCAAATATTTGTTAACTACTAAATTTGCGCTATGTTATGTTAGTTTACACATTTCATAGTTAAGGACTTTGGTGAATAAAATCTATTCCATAAATTGAGAACGGAATTTCAAATTTATTCCGAGTAGCTTCCGCAGGTGTTCTTTTCAATATTTCAAAGTCTATTTGAATTTCATTAATCCGTTTTAATGTAGCATTCCAAATGTCACGAAAGGAAAAAAAATCGCAAAATAGGTTCAGAGCTATTCAAAACGTTGGCAGTAATTGAAAGTATAAAAGTACTGGCACAACTAAAAAGTAAGTTAACATTTTGAAGATTTAAATATTTTATTCACCTGTTTGTATTCACAATCCATAGGTGTTTTTTTAGCATGAACTACATTTATCTAAATTAAGTATACACGAATAAGCTTCAATTATAAAATGTTTCTACATTGAAAAGACAATTTAATGTAACTTGCAATACTGATTGTCAAATTTATGATTAAACAAATTTGACCCTTTTTGGAAAATGTTAAATTTGATTTATTGTAAGCTGAATTGCGAACAATTTAATAAAAACTTAAAGCAATAAAAATAGAGCTTTCGCATACGTTACGTTAACTATTTTCTCTTAGGGATGCTCCTTTGTAAGACAATTTTTACCCATGCATTTTAAGTAACTTTGTTAAAAATAAGATTAAAAATTCAAAAAAATATTTCAAACTAATTCTTTAACAGTTGAAATTTTACCAAAGCAAATTAAATCCCTGCGAATTAATATCTATTAAAGATAAAGCATTTAATAAAATTTTAGCGAATTTTAGTAGCTATTTTTGAATGATTTGTAACTAAGAGTTTAGTATTTAGAATGAATTTTCTGCAAAAAATTTCTTCAACTAGTTTCATAATCTGGTAAATTTTATTACTAGACCACATAATTTTACCTAATAATTCACTAATTTTAATAAATTGTGCGTACCTAAATTGAAAAGCTCAGTATTTAAAGCACTGTGGCAATATTCTTCTCTTTTTAAGTACATTAATATTTGGTCTTTATTTCAGTAACTCGAATGCACAGCATGTAATTGGTGGCGTTTTGTATTGTCTCATTCTTTATGTAAATATTTGCCTACATTTTTGGTATTCGAAGTCAGAAAAATGGCTCAGCCGGTTTTATTATGTAACGAGCCCATTCCTTTCTTCGTGCGAGAGAATACAAATCATAAAAACCGGTATTTGCTTACATTTGGAACAGAACCTAGGCAAATATTTAAGTATTGGCTATAAGCTCGATTAGCAGTTAACTTCGCAAAATGGAAAAGTTTGTTAATTGACCATTGAGGCTCTAACGGAAATTTTGCCATCAAAGTATTTTGTTACTTAAACCGCTACCCGTTTGGAAAGTATTTTACTACATTTGTGTTCAAGATGTGAATTAAAATTTCTCTTTCGCAATAACGTGTTAATTTTAATTGTTCACGATTTTTCAATGTAAACATTTAGTACCAAATTAACAATACTATTATGTTGGATATTTCACGATAAATTTCTATTAATTTGTTTACTGCAATAAGTCTTTGTCGGTTAACATCAATTCCTTAAAAAGACTTTAATTGTTTTACTCTATTTGAAGCTTCATTTAAATTCACTCTGTTGAACAAGTGCATGAAGCCTCCGAGTGCCCGTTTAATTTCCACTACCCTGTACATAGACTAATATAAATACACAAATATGATTTGAATATAAAATTATAACTGGGAGTTAACTTACGGGACTTTTACAACCATGGGTGTCTTCATATAGCTTGTCGTTATATAAGGAACTTTCACAGGTACATAGTACGGCTTTGGAACTTTGATTATCTTTTTCACTGGAACAGGAATAAATTTTGGGACCTGCGAATAAATTTCAAGAACAGTTTGAATACACGGTACAAAAACTTTGGCAAAAATTAAAATTGAGATTGGAAATTTATGTGTGGCATTTGTTATAAGTGTTTTAGAACCGTATTATATCTATAATATATAATATTGGTGAATATTTCCCTCAACTTGGCATTTTGAAAAATTATCATGCTAGACAATACTCCAGTTTTTAGTGAAAGCTTAAATATTCAACGTTCAGGGGAAATTTGACAGTTCCTCAGTTGCTATGCAACTAAAATTAGTGATATTCCTTTGAGTTTCCACCGCAGTTGATAAGAAACGAACTTATCCAAGATTTGATTGAAAAAGTGAAATCAGGAAAAATATTGAATTGAGTGGTTCGGTGAGCAGGAAATTCATTTATGGTGGTTTTCTTTAAAAAAATCTCAATCAGCAGCTATCAGACTAATAAAAATAGTTTCCTGAGCAGTACGCAAAGTAAATCTCCACAAGTACGCTAGATTTTGTAAAATCTTTCCAGTCTCATTAGAAAAAAAAAGTGTTTTAATTTCACTTTCAAGGTGGTTGACCTCAAATTATTCAGAGTGATTATGTTATAATCCTCAAGTATTATTTGATTTTCTGCCTGCTTAACAAGGCATCTAAACATGCATTAAGGACAGCGATTAAGGAGTTTCATGCATTTATCTGCATGAGTTTAGAAACATTTGTAAAAATATTTAGAAGGCTTTACTGAATTAAAGAAAAGTTTAAAATTAGAACTTCTGGAATTGAACATTTAGTATTCTTATCCATTCAAACCTTTACAGTTGCTCAATCTAGGATTGTAGATTTGAAATGTAGGAATTCTAAGAAGCAGACTCCTTAAAGTAGATTCAGTTTAAAATAACGAATTACATTTGAATCATTAGAATTACATTTGTTTAAGCTTTTGAATTGAATATAGTTTAAAATAGAGATAAAATACTTTCGGTAAATACTAAGTTAACCAAATTAACCTAACCAAAAAGATTACAAGTTTTAGTTAGGGTATAAGATTTTTTAGACTGAAACTGATTGACTCAGCTTATTTTACTTTTCATATTAAATTAAATTGCTTATTCTGTTATTGTATCTCGCGATAGAGTTTGTTCTTTTTCGTCGCAGCAAACTGACTGAAAATATTAGACAGGCAGCATGTTAGCAACTACGACAGTAAAGAAATACCTAGAACTATGTTGCTGAAAGAACAGCTGCTAAAACAGTGGAATTAGTTTTGCCAGATTGGCCCAAGAGTTAAACACTGGAATTTACTTTCATATAATTAGATTGCCACATGACGATTGTCCTAGAAGCTGGACAAAATAGAATACAACACGTTTCGCATAAATTAGCGTATGGATGAAATATGCTTTAAAAACAATTTAAGATAGCATATTAACTACATAAATAGTCAAACATGCAAAAAATTTTGCTGGAAAACAGTGTAGAGCGCAAGTATTGTATTCTGTATAAAGGTTAATACTTTCAGATTCGGTAAAAGATGTTTTTGGCCATCTTCCCACTAAATTTAAACAGTTTAAATTTTATTTGCAATACTCTTGTATCAATGTACGATTTAACTGATCTTAAAGTTTCCTGATAAGAAAAGTGATATTTTTTACACAATTTCCTTAAACTCTGGGGTTGGAAATTATTGAAATAATTCAAAACTAAAACTTTGTTTTGCTGTGTTTATTGAAAATAACAGCTCTCTCATTTAGCTTAATTTCTGCATATCTCTGATAACATCGAAAAATAGTTCTGAATTAGAATCTTTACTGCTTCACTTTAACTCTGCATTGTAAGTGGACTAAAGTGACTAGTTTAAAACGTGATATTTTGTTGAATCTTTTCGCAAACTTAAGATTTTCCTAATCAAAACAAAGTTCTTAGGAAGTCAAACACGGAGTTTCCAACAAAATCTTTTACAATTTTCTCCAGTAGGAGAAAGACCATCTTAGACTTAGTCCAAAGGATTTCTCATCTCATACATCTTTGTGACAAGGGCTCTTACTATACTTAGACTCGCATTCCTGAAAATTCAATTCAAATGCAATTTGTATGAATTAGTTTTCTTTAAAAAAGATCAGTTCAGTCAATTATTGAAGCAGTTTAGGTCAATAAAGACTTACCTTTTTCTTGATTGGAATGGGAATGAATTTAGGATAAGGAACAGGCTTTGGAATTGGAACCTTGTAAATCTTTGGTACTGGATAAGGTATACCAATGGGAATGGGCTTCTTTACAGGAATATACTTTTTCACAATAAATGGCTTAGGGATCTTCACTATCTTGGGAATGATTTTCTTAACAGGCACTTTAAATGGCACAGGCACAATCTTCGGCACTGGTATTGGCTTGTATACCGGATAAAACTTCGGCACCATAACTTTTTTTGGCACTGGCACTTTGTGATATACTGGAACAGGCTTTTCAATCACGTGTACGATTGGCTCTAGCTCGTAAGTTTTTGGTTTCTTTTTCAATGCAACCAGCGGTACTTTAACTTTAGGGACAAGCACTTTAGCCTTTACTGCCTTTTTCAGGACAACTCTGAAAAAAATTAGAAAAATCTGAGAATTTTGTTTAGAAAGATTAGAATTATTTTAACACAATATTTCTCAAAATCAAAGAATTTTTAATCAAAAATGAACTTTTCTTCATATTGCAAGTTTTGTACTAAGTATTGATATCAAATATACTTTAGAAAGTCAAAAGTGAAATACAAGACTGTAGAAATTAAATATGTTTGGCATTAAACTTCGAATAATTGAAAAATTTCTAACATTAGATAGAAAGCTGTGACAAAGCCTTAGTTCTCTAGTGATATAATACTTGTAAAACTGAATAAGTTTATAAACATGTTGGCCCATTAGTTAACAAGATTTTATTTCATTCATGTTTAGCTACAAATCTAGAAGTGTCAAACGATTGTCGCACAGTCGAAGCTCAAAAATTAAACCCATTGGTACTATTTAATAACCATTTCTGAATTTATTGCTAAGATTGGCAAACGTTTCTATAAATATCTAACTTTTGAAACGCTCAGTCTAATTAACTTTTCCGGCAACTTAAATTAGAAGTTTTATGTAAGATGATCAGCATCTTCATAAAACTAAACTGGTCGCAAAATTTTTAACTTTCGAAAGCTCTCCTTTTTAAAATATAATTTCTGTTAAAGAATCCTTGCGAGGAATCCGTTTAATATTAGTTTGGAATAATAAGGCAGTTTAAATATTTGCATCGAAATTATAAGTTTTTTTTCCGCTAATAAACCAAGGTAGATTGCTCGGGATTATTCATACTCCGTTTTAGCATAATTTATTCTCTAATTTTGTGGGAAATTTAAGAAGAGCTTCGATTATATTAGTGATTGTTTACTAAGAGCTTTATCACGATTATAAAAATATTTTAACTAAAAAGGTAAAAACACTTCAATTCTTTTTAAAATTGGAAAAAAAGAAAAAATACTAATATAGGATGTTCTTTCAATAATTCCGCCGCGTTGCAATTCTAAAAATTTTAACTTTAATTTTCATTGTTCAATAATGCATACGTTATTTGGAAAGATCGAAATTGATTGTCTACGTTTACATAGTTGTTTTGGCAAATGTTTCAAAATAATTTCGAAATATCACTGTCTCTTACTTAAGCTAATGTCACTTTAGTCCTCATTGATGAAGGATTGCAAGGGGAAAAAATGTCGTCACTACTGAATGCGAGTGAAAGAGCGTAATAATTACTAAATGGGATTTCCCAAAACAACAAGAGTAATATCGAAATTCACCGAAAGACGTTTTTCCCAGTATTTCAGACTTACTAGGTAACGATGATAAACTATTTTGTAGGCACCAGAGCGTACAATATCAGATAACATTGCATATGATTTCTCGTAAGAATTAGAGTTTTCCCCTTTGTTTGCCTTTGCAAAGAAATTATTCAAATAAAAGCATAATGATGCTCTAGTTTGAAGCTTTTAATTTCAGTGAAAAACTAAGGTAAGAAATTTGATTCAAGTAAATTTGTTTTATATCAATATCTTATTTGAGAAATGGATTCTATTTCATGACCAAAATGTGAAGAAACCCTGAAAATACCCTAGCATAAAAAAAATTTTGAAAATAAAAGGCTTATGTGTAGCTAAAAATAATTAAAATTAATTGGATTTAAATTGTTTTATATAGCTCCTATAAAAGTAAAAGGAATGATCTTATTTTCTGCAGTTATTTTTGGAATTTCTAGTCTCCGACGTACCATATAGTATGTTTCGCAAGCTTTCTTTGGACTAACGCAGATGGGACGCCAGTGTCTTATTTTTTTCTGTAGTTTTAATTCCAAGTAAAATTTAATATTTTTTAATTATAAAAGCAGTCTAATAGTTAAAAAATCTTAGATTATCGTAATTATATTTGTAGTGGAATATAAAATCAAATAAGAAATTGCAAAATACTTTATATTTAAATTTATCAAAAATTGATTTTGTAAATTAAGGAAATTTCAATGATAAACTGTTTCTCTTAGATTTAAGCTGCAAATAAAATGTAAAAAATTGTGTGTAAGTAAGTAGTTTTTGGAAGATTTTATCTCTAACGCTGAAAAAGACTCCAGTGTTTCATGCTGTATTTAAGAAACATCAATTAATAAAAAAATTAAGTATAATATTTCAGTTATTTTAACCTAATGCAAAATAAAAAGCATGGAAATATGTCTCATATTCTGCGTCAAAGAATTAAGGAATACTTTAAACTTACTTTTTCAAAGGTGCAGTTTTCAGAAGCTTTTTAGTTCCCATCATTGGCTTCAAACTCATGGGTTCCTGCGGACTCATTAATGGTTCTTTCAAATCTTTTCCTCCAGTCAGTTTTCCAAGAGGGCCATCTTTCACTTGTTCTACCAATTTAGATATGCCTTCGAATTCTGACTTAAGGCCAGTCTCCGATATGAGAGATTCAAGTGGATTGCTAGCCAATGATCCTATTTCTGACGCCAAAGTGTCCACTGTTGCAGATACTTCGCTTAAAAGGCCCATGATTGCGAGTGAGATTAAAATCCGCATTACTGAACTAAAAATAATGAAAGGTCAATTATAAAATAGGTTCGCGTACATTTGAAAGTATATTAAGGCCTAAAACTAGTTTAAAATAAAAATTTCTATCAAAACTCTGAACAGTTTAAGGAAACTTTCCATACAGATACGTTGAAGAATTTGCAATATTTAGCTTTTCGAAACTTCATATGCACATCATTATGACCAACGAATAAGCCTAATATTCTACTGCAAAATCAGTTCTTTCTTTTTAAGTCTAACTTTTTTAAATTTTGTTATACGAAAGAGCAATAGATTCGATGTTCAAGAGCAGTGCGATTTAGAAAATTAAGCTTTGTTTGAATCTTAATATAGTACGTATAAATAGTGTTTAACTAAAGGAAAAAAAAAGTAGCGTCTATAAAACCTGAATCAGCACGAAATTTTTAGATCTATAGATAATTTTATATTTGCGTTAAAGCCCTACCATAGTACATGAGATATTTACATTACAGAACAGTAAGATTAATTTAAGTTTGACTTTAATGCTGCAGAATTCTCTTGCACATCTTGATTTTTCTTTTTAGAGAAGACACTTGTTTCTAGACAAGCGATCTGCCATTTGAAAAAAGTTTAACTGCAGTATAGTTTAAAATATAAATAAGACTACTGATTTTGAATGCATTTACAGAGAAATTTTTTAAGGAAAGTAACTTATCTTACTACAGGATGGAATCTATCATAAAACATTCGTTGAAACTTCTAATGTTACAATATAACGTTATAAAACAATTCCCAGTCTACTACAAAAACAAGTTAAATATTAAAGTGTCAAAAACTAATACTGATTTATTGATAAAGTTACAATTTGGATGTTTCATCTTATTGAGAATCATGCACATAAAATGAAATTGATAAAGATTACTCAAATTTAAGTTTTATAACCGACATTGAACAACCGACAAATCTTTGGGTTTGCGGCTATCAATGTTCCACTCTTCTGTAGCTTTAATTATAAATAAAAAACTTTAAGGACAAGAGATCACTTGGATCAAGCTTTTACGTTACATGGAACTCGCATTTACGTTACATAAAGGAAAACCACGAAAACCTTCAATGAATAGTCAAATCATTACCTCACGAAACAGTGCTTAAGGATAGAAAGTTAAGGGAAGAGATTTTCTGATGAAGCAAGCTAACATACAAAGTCGCCAAAAGTATGATTTTAGCCGATCTAATTCGTCAAATAAAAATCAGAAAGTCGAGAAATTCTTTTAAGACACGAAATTTGTACCAGTAACTCAAGTTGAACTGGTAACAAGACTTTTAATAAAATTTTATTTCACATTTCCTTAAAACTAAACTTCACAGTAATTCAGCAAATATTTTACACTTTATTTAGGGAAATTTCATTAGTCAATAAACTAGAATATTTTATAGCAGGCTTTGTTTTTACGCAAATAAACATAGAATACTAGAAAAGCTGCAAATTCTGAACAGCATTTTAAAGCATTAAGTGCAATATTTTATTTATAATTATTGATTTCAACATTTAAATTTAAGAAAAAAATAAGACTTAAATTGAAATATAAAAATAATTCAGTTCCATTCAAATAATTTAAAAGTCAAATAAAGTTGATTAGACAAAACATCAAGTTTTACAGGTAGTTAGAATTTTATGCTATGCTTGAGATTTAAAAATTAATTTAAATGGGAGAAAATTAAAAGACGAGATCTCGAAAGTAGTACTTACTTTTATAAAGCTTAGGGATTTAAATAGTTAGTCAAGAAAAACTAAATTTAGATAAAAAAAAAAGAAAGGGGTAAATTCTGAACTTTCGAAATTTTTAGAACTATCTCAGATTATAAATGTGAACTTAATTTTTAAATGTTAAGCATGAAGCTTAAAAACTAAAGAATTGGAATCACAAGTAAAAGCTTAAAAGAGTTAGCTAAAGTTGGATTACTCACCCAGTCTTCTTATTTAGGCCCATAGTGCAAGCTGAGGGAGGAACTCAAATGCCTGAAAACAAAACTTTAAAAAAGTTGTAACATTTTAATTAGGATTAAAAAAGTAATTCATTAAAATTAAGTACAACAAAGTTACTGCGAAATGTGAACACGAATTCGAAATTGACCGATTTTATATTTTTTGATTTGAAATGCTGGGGGCGTGGTCTAGTTGATGCCTACAGTTAAGATGTGTATGCTATTAGCTTATTAATTGATGGGTTGGCCGAAAGATTAAGATTCTGGACTGTAAGAGAAGATTTAAGCTCCACAATATGAGAAGAACTTTAGTGTTGTAAAAGAATAGAATGCAAAAGCCTGTCTGGATTAGAAATAACAATTGATCTCTTTCGAGTTTTCTGAGTAGAAGTTTAAGTAATCTACTCAGACTATTTTCAATTAGGCGACATAGCCATTTGAATTGCCCATTACTGCGACTCCTTGCGTAAATGATATATGAACATTTTAACTCTGCCAAATGACTTAAAATATGGAGGTTGCAGGTTAGATTTCCATTTTACCCATGGCCGGATTGGTGCTACAACTTTATGACGTATGTTATTTTTTTAAGACTTAAAAGTACATGAAGTACACAAACTGGAAAATTTATATATTCATATAACAATGAAAATGAACATCGATTATGCACTTCAATCTTAGTAGTTGTACTTTATTTAAGACGCACTAGAGCTGCACTATGGGTTATTTCCGACTGTTTTTGAAACATCCGTGATGAAGTTAAGAAGACATGCCACCCCAATTCTGATCCTCTGCAAAGAGGCTCAAAAGATAGTGGCTGAGGATGGTTACTCTCCTCAAGAGGATGGCTACTCCACTTTGGTAGTCAAACGACCTGAGTGCTCAGTCGAACTTTTAAAGTAGAACAGTTTAACGAGGATCAATACTGCGCACTCTAGGTCTTTTCACAGGATGATTAAATTGGTTACCCATCAGCTCACAGACCGCTGCCAGTGACGCTTGACTTCAACTTGGTTTTCCGAAGTCAAGCATCACTGGCTGCGGTCAGTGTGCAGGTGGGTGACCATTTGGATTAGTCTGCGCAGGGACTGGGGGTGTGTGGTATTGGTCCTCGTTAAACTGTTCTACCGTAAAGTACTCGACTTCGCGTGCAGGTCGTCGGGATACCGAAGCAGGGGTGCCATCTCCTCTGCAGAGGATCAAAATTGTAATGGCATGACTTCGGATCATCCTCAGGGATGTTTCCAGACCTTCGCCAATAGCCCATTGTGCAGCTCTAGTGCGACGTAAATGAACTACAACAACAACAACTCAGCTTGGTTTTCAAAAATATCTATTGCAAAGGTTCGAACTGAACCTGAAGAAGTTTAACTTTTTGGAGCAATAATAGTTTGTAAAATTGTATGCTTCATGTACACAGAGCCTTTGAAATGCTTAACGTTTTAGAGCGGAATTAATGGAAGTTGTTCGAAAAGCATGTTTTTCTGCGTTCTGTTAAAAAAGATTCATTCCCATTAATTTTCTATGATTTTAAAATCCATCAACAGATTAAGCTAATATCACTCATGAACTTTAAAACGAAGTTTTCAAAATAATCTATTTGTAGTAACAGCTTGGCGTTGTCTGAGGAAACAATTAACAGATGCGCATGTAAATATTTGCATTGAATTGTCCTGGCATGCAACAGAAAACATTGTTTTATAATTTCCCTGTTTTAAGCTCTATCTGTTGACGAACTTCGGGAGCATTTCGGAAGCTTGGTGTGATTGAATTGGTTTCCTTTCTATTTCTTTACGGTTTTCTCTAGAACATCAAAACTCACTTTTCTGTGAGATAATTTTCGAATAGTCGATCATTTCTGTGGCGTACCCGATCAGTTAAATTTCTTTAAATTGTTTTTATGCAAAATAAAATCTCATGCAATGTCCAATATATGCGGCCCACGTCCAACCTAAAGCTCATTTGTTTCTTGTGCATTCTTGAACAAATCGAAAGTATTGGCACTGAGGGTTTATGTGGTTTAAAGGCATGTCTTATTACAAATGGAGCACACATTAAAACTTTGTTCGAAACTATTTTAGTCTAAACTGTAGTAACAAATCATTGAAACTGGGTCATTCTTTCATGAACACTTTGTAAAATGTAAAGTAAGGAATGAAGAATATAAATGCTGTCCACCAAAAGCGTAAAAATCTGCAATTTTACGTTGTTAATCACGTGTTGGTTCTACTTAAATCACATTTAAGCTATTAGCTTGTAAGCACCGATATTCTTTTGAGGCTTGGGGGCACGAATCTGCTACCTTATTTATATATATAGAAGAACTAACTATATATTAAATTGATATTTTTAAAATTATATATATAGCTGTTAAAAATATTGTTAATATGTTCAGTATTTTCAAGTTTACAAAGTTTGAATTTCAAACATAGCATACAGGCCTTAAAATTTATGTTTTCCATATGCAGCCAGAATGTTTCAGTCAGTAATTTTACGTTCTCTAGCAGCACTCAAATTATCAAAAAAATTACATTTAAATTACGAGAACACTGATTTAACAGTTATTAATTTGAAATATGGTTCTAGCATTACTTTTTCTGATACAGGAATAAGTTATCCACTCTAATATTTTTTGCACTTTTAAATATTCAGTTTAAAAGTGCACTAAATTAGTTTTAATTTTACTATAAATTGAAAGTTTGTCTATACTCAATTTCTTAGTTGCTTTTTGCTTGATGAAGGGACTTACTATTATTTAAACTCCACCAGTCTTAGGTCGAAATCTTTATGTTTTGATCTTTCAACAAGCTTTCTATTACCAAAAATTTTGCTATTTAATAAATTAAAACAAATTATCTTAAAATACGGCTTAATTTAAAGATGCCCTGTATATTATTACTTTGGAATTCAATGCAGAATTAAAGATCAAAGTCCAGACTACAGAGTGAAAATAAATTTAAAACTAGCTGAATGTTTACAAGTTACGGATTTACAAATAGATTCAAAGGAAGGATCAGTCATTTTGCATTGAACAAGATGCAAGTGTCTAAAAATTATTAAGCCGCAGAGCTGTAGCTCTTAAGGGTAAAACTGATCCCTCTCAGTTTCGCTAAACTTTAGGATAGAGGGATCAAAATTAAAGTTTCCAAAATTATTATAAAGGTGCAAAAAAGATTCTTAAATGTTAAAATTTTGTTTTGTCGGTAGATTTATCCTTTTAGCAGGTTAATAATCCTTCATGAAAAAAAAATCAGTAAAACTTCCATAAAAAGAAATCAAGAATCATATAAATATAATGAAGTAAGTCGATAGGTATTTTTCGAACTCATTTGAAAAAGTAAAACTAAATTCTCAGTTGCACAAATTTTTCCTAATTTCGACAATTTTATTTTATTTCGATAAATTCTCTTTAAAATCCAGCAATTTAAAAATCTAGAATTTTATATCCCAATTAATGAAACCGGAATTCTTGTTTTGCAATAGATTAGTGCATACGCATATCTCGTACACACGTAAGTATGGCTCGCTTCAAATATGCATGATAAACTAATCAAATCTGAAATAGCAAAATTTTATCTACTGCATTTACACAAGACTTAAATCTAGATATAAAACTATGAGACTTCAGTTTTTAAGCTTTAATATTTAATAGAACATAAGTATTAAAAAATATCAGCTCCCCCACAGCAGAAAGAAATGCGAAAATAATCTACAGTGTTTAAATATTTTATTTTAAAATAAAAAGAACGCAAATAAAGTTCATAATAGTATAGAATAACATTTTAGTAGCAAAACTTTAATTTGAAGTGTCTAATGATGTTCATATTTTAATTTCCTTAATGTCCTCAAGAGATAGTTTAGCTGGTTACTATCGGACAAGTCCAACAAAGGCGTGCGAGAATGTATTCCACTATCCTCAAAGCCTAAGTGTAATACACCGCTTCCAACAGAGTGAATTCCATTCGTGGTACTAACCGGAATGTTTAAAGATACTCCTCCTTCTGATAGAATTCTGTGCAGGAACTTTAAAGGCTTGTTGACACTAGGATCAATTTTTAGCTTTAAAGGCAAGCCATCAGGAGTAAAAGCCAACACTATTTTTGTCTCTGCGTCTTGTCTCCAGGATCCAGAATGTTTATGAGAATGGAGATTGGATTCTTTGTCTTGATTATAGGATATTTCGTCTCGAGAGGCACTCTTTGAAGATGTCCCGCTTGCAAATTGATCCCGCGTAATACCTCTAATACCTTCGATTATTTTCTTTGGCGGCGAAATGTTGGAATCTAGTAACCATTTGCCATGGTCCTTCAGTAGTCGCCTGAAATACTTATCGAAGGTAGATTCAGAAAATAAAACATCTCCAAGAATCCTGCCTTGAATACCAGTTTCATCTTCCCTGTCCTGGTGTGGTTCGCTGTTCCTCTTTGAAGATTCACTAACTACTTTTGGCGAGATTTTGCCTTTATTGCTAATCTTTTTATTCGAAGTCATCGCTGTTCTGATGGGTCTACTAGATCGTTTCTGCAATTCTGGCTTTACTCTCTTCTCGTTCTTTTCAGGGTATTTAGAAGTTTCCTCATCGAAAATACCTTTGATTCCTAAATTAATATTTCCACTGACATCTGCTAATGGAGAATGAGGCTTTAGACCATCTTTATCAGACTTTTTATCGATTTTTTTTGTTGGAGGTTTCTTTGCATCCACTTTTATATTTAAAGGCAAAAAAGGCAAAGATAGATCGAGTGATGACCGTTGCCCCGTGTTATGGAAATTCAAGTTTAGAATGTCAGACATCTTGATCATTCCACCGGAACTCAAAGATTGGCTAACTTGATCCTGTAGAGTTTTGTAATTATCTCTGATGCGATCAAAATAGTTTCTTCTGCGATTATCTTTCTCCTGATTTGGGATCATTTTTGGGTTTTCAGATTCATACTTAGGAGCAGTAAGCCTGTAGAGTCTGTCTTCCACATCAACTATCGCATCACTTAGCTGAGAGAGGACATTTGCATATGGATCATGTGTTGATGTTGGTAGAGGATCAAAAGATTCCGTTGCATCTTGAACTTGACAGGAAACTAAACTTTGAACAATCACCAAGAGACAAATGATTATTACCCTTTTCATCTGAAAAATAAATAATTTTTATTAAATTATTCTCAATGCTAAGGATATTAGCTGAAAATTCTAACTGGTATAATACGAATTTGTTGTTGAAAATTATTACAAACTACTATTATTACTACCAAGGAAACTACATTGTTCCTAAATCATACAAGGTTTTCATAGGCACATATTTCAATTACCGATAAAAACAGATTATTAAACTCCTAGAGGTAATGTCAAAGTAATAATGTCTAACATAATGAAATTTTATCCTTTGAACCGTTTAGTTAACTTAAAATTAAGGAAAAAAAATTGCAGATTTTATTCAATGAAATTAGCGGATAAAATTTTTTATAAAATATGCTCCATTTTATGCATAAACGTAAAAGTAAAGGAATATTAATTCAAGTATGTAGTAAAAAATGTAATCGAAGTAATGTTTTAGATGAAATTTATTGCGAAAAAGTTTAGTCCATAAATTAAATTTTAATATATCTGAATTGTAGCTTTTCAAGGTAAAATTGTATGATCTGATGTTTAAGTTTAGTAATAAAAAAAAAGCTTACAGTTTGACTTCTGGGTAGCCTAAAGGATGTTTTTCCTACCCAAGGCCGTTTATTTATAAGAGGAAATTCTATGCTACTCCGAATAAATCCGAAGCCTATTCAGGATTTTGATTTCAAAAGTTAATCCTGAAAATTTGTTTCAGAGAACTCTTAACTTATTTTATTCTTTTTCAAATGATTTTATTCGACAATAGTTTTAACTTCACATTATTTCTATAAGTTAAAAATCTTAAGAGACGCCACTGTTTCAGGTGTTTAAATGTAAGTTACATTTCATTTTATAGTGCTTTTGTTAATTTAAATTATGATTTACATTTGTGAGCAAAAATATAAGTGAGATTGTTGCAACGACAGTTTAAACTATATAGGCCATTCAAGGATCAACAAATACATTAAAATAAGTCGCTTAAGGCTGGCTGGTCGCATGAACGAACCCTTCTTCCTTTAGAACTAAGATCTTTAATTACAAACCAATGGGAACTAGAGTTAGAGCTAGGCCTAAGATCACATGGCCTTGCTGTGTGGAAAAGGAATGCTAAGAAATACTAACTGGTGAACAATCACAAAGAAAAGAGCAGTATGGAGGATATTTCTAGGGAAGGCTCTGGCCCACAAAGAGCTGTCATGCCAATAGAGGAAGAGTGAGCTATTTCATTAGATATATGGTGAATACCAAGGAAAATTTCACCTGGTGGATAAAGCGCAAAGGGTTAGTTTAGGTATTTTGGAGCTCAGGAATAATTTCGAAAATATGAGATTAAAAATTAACATTACATATTGAAAAATGAAAACAGAATAAAAGAGAATAATCAGAACCAATCCTCACTATAACCGTATTAAAAATCTTAATATAATAAAAATTTTATGCAGATTGTAGTATTTAATCTGGAATTCACGTTTTCGTGATCTTAATTCTCGCAAAAATTCTGTTATTTGTTAAACAGTTTATAGAAACAATGAATGTCATTTAGAATAACATGAATGTTTATTGCTTAAATTGAAAAGTACACTTTTACTTTCTGTTTTGCATTGCTGGAATTTCAATTTACGTGCTCCCACCAAAGATTAAATTCTCTACAACTTGCATAACGTTTAAAATATCTGGTTTCAAACGTTGGATGTAATACAGTCCAAGATCTGATATGCATAGTGGTGGAAGTATGGTTCGTAAATGTTTCTTTCAAGAACCATATTTCTGAATCTAATACACTACTTTAATTATATTTCAGTAACAGTTTGCATGCAAGCAAATAAAACTCAAATTTGAATAAAAATGGTTTTTGCAGGATTTTTCTTTTGCTTGAAAGCTAACTGGAATCTTTTACAAAAATATAAAGTTTTTAAAATTTTATAAGTAAAAAAAAAAGAAAAATTAAGTATAGTTAAAATGAGTCAATTATGCACGCAAAATTTATTCAATATATCTTGTTTCTTTAAAATACAAAGTTTGTTTTAATGATTCTCCTTGTTTCAAAGAACTTCATCTACAAGTGAATTACGTACACGGACTGTTGATGCATGGAAAAATGCTTGCATTCACCAAATTTCTGTTGCGAAATTGGACAAAAGTTGGTACAAGTTAATCTTTTAAAATATATTTAAATATTTTTGTTTTACTGCCTTTACAATGAGTTTGTATACACCAAAAATATGATTGGATTTACTTTTGGTGGTTAGATTTTTTAGTATTAAGGACGCAGAAAGATACTAAATTTAATTTACTTTCTGGACAGTTTTATGTCTTTATTTGAGTCTAGCAAATTTTGTTTCATAACCAAAATGTTAAAAAAAACACTAAAAAATATCCTGCAATAATAAAAATATTAAAGTTTAACATTTATAGAATTTAAATAAACTAAAAAGGTAATTAAGATAAAATAAGTTTATTCTCAAATATTTTATCACATTAATGATGAACTTTCCAACAATTAACGATGGACTTGTCAAATACTACGAAAATTTTTATTTAGGAGTCTAAGATTTATTAATTAGAAACTGAAATATAAATTTTATTTAAAAAAAATTGCAACATATAACAGTTTACTCGTAATGAATTAAATAATAACAAATATTTTTTGAAAAATTATTTCGTGTTTAAAAAAGATTTCTCATTTTGAAAAGACAAGAATTTGTAATATTGCTCAGAAAACAAAGTTACATTGGCCTGAAATACAAAATTTTACTTACCTTGAGAAACACACTGAACAACTAATTTCTAAGGAGACACCAGCTTCAAGTTATAAAACAAAGGTACCAATACGCTTTTGGCTGCTTATTTTTGCTTGTAATAACAACTGCTAAATTGTAGTTGTAGTTTATTTATGTTGTATTAGAGCTACAAAATGGGCTATTGACGACTGTCTGGGTTGTTATTGTTATTGTTAATTTACGTCGCACTAGAGCTGCACAATGGGCTATTGGAGACGGTCTGGGAAACATCCCGGAGGATGATCCGAAGACATACCATCACAATTTTGATCCTCTGCGGAGGGGATGGCACCCCCGCTTCGGTAGCCCGACGACCTGCGCGCGAAGTCGAGCACTTTACGGTAGCACAGTTTAACGAGGATCAATACCGCACACCCTCGGTCCCTACGCAGACTGATCCAAGTGGTCACCCGCCCGCACACTGACCGTAGCCAGTGATGCTTGACTTCGGTGATCTGCTGGGAACCGTGTCTTAACGATCAGTCCACTGCGGGACGACGACTGTCTGGGAAACATCACCGAGGATGATCTGAAGACAGCGAAGATACGTCACACCCCGTTTTACCGAGAGGACAGTTTCATACACCATCAGTCCATTTTGACCTGAATCAGAGCACGATCAATTTCCATTCCAGCAACCCTAGAGGTATAGATTTGTTACAGAAACTTGGAGAATTTTGTGACTCTGACGGATTTAGCAAGCACCTGCCACTATTTTGTACACGGGGAGTCTTCTACCTGTGGGGATCGAACTCACGATCTCTCGGTCCAACACCCAACCAACCAGGCTGTTTCAGCCACGCTTTGGCCTTTTGGGCATTCACAATTGTTTTGGGGTGTAGAAAAATAACCCGTACGTGTTGGGTCCTTTCTAATTCAATTCTGTATGTGTTGGGGCAGCGGTTGGCCAATAGTTAGAAAATCGGAATTCGGTCCGGAAGTGTCAGGGTTCAATCATTATCTCCGATAAGACCCAGCGAGTACATGCTATATACGTGCTTGTAAAATCAGTGAAATCAAAGATTCTGTGCTGCGTCACTTATCAGTACCACGAGTTCAAGGATCTGGAGAAATTTCCATTCTCTTCAGATCCATGTCTAAATCGAGTAAGTGGCCAAACAAATGAGTTCCTCTCTGAAGAGGATCAAAATTGTGATGGTATTTGTATTTGGATCATCCTCCAGATTGTTTCCCAGATCATTGCTAATAGCCAATTGTGAAACTTTAGTGCAACGTAAATAAAGTACCTACCTACCCCTTGTATGTTTTTAAGTTAGTTCTATTTTAATGAAATGCTTGTATGTTTACGCTTGTAAGCTTTCGTCAAAATAATTAATTTCATTGCTAGCAAAAAAAAGTTGTATTTATCTCATTTAGCGTTTTTCTGCTTTATTGAAATTACATACATTTGCAGGATTGTATGCTCAATTTAGACTTATAAAGCCTTTGTCAAGTAGAAAGACATATAGAACAATTCAGAGAAGGGCATCACGAAGAATACATCTTGTGCTACGGTGGGATTCGAACCCGCTACCTTCACGCACTGAGGTTTTTCTGCTATTCCTCAGCAATTGTTGAGTTTTTGTTGAGGCTTTCGGGCACGAACCTGCTGTTTTTTCGGTTTCGGACTTACTATTCATATCATATTGAGCAGACCAATGTCTTCAAGAAACTAAAATATCTGGCTGTAAACTTTCTATATAAATATTTTGGAAACTAAATGCTTTATCTTTTTAAATTAATATTTTTAGAAGATAGATCATTAGCAGTAATTTTAAAAAGAAATACATTTTAAAAATAAGAGGAAGAGGTGAGGTTTTGAGTGTTTTTAAAAAAAAAAATTTGCAACCAAGTTTTTTGCTTTTGTTTTGTGAGGACGCTAGTCACCTTTTTCATACATCACTCTTCTACGATTAGACGACAAACCACAGTGGCGTCTTCGCCTGCAACTTAACTTATCTTATTTTCTTTCTCATGTCAATTTTTGTAAGAAGTTGTTCATCTTGTTATTCTTTTTTTTATGCAGTTTAATCTTTCGTACAAGATGTACGATTACAACATTACAAGAGAAAACTCATACCCAACTCCACTTGCAAATACAACTCTTTTACCTCTCATGCTCATGTCTTTGGCAACTCAAAAGAATGCACCGACAGTCCTTCAAACACCATCTTCTTTGCTTTCTCAATACGATTTCATCATTGGTAAGAATATCTTAAAAATATTTTTGCATTGTTTCCTAAAACGTGATTTGATAATTTTTACTAGCCTTAAGTGCCACTCTTACTCAATGCGTTAAATTCACGGATGCTAGCACGAATCTGACTGGAGAGTTTTCATGTATATATATTTCATCAAACAAAAACCTATTCCTACTGTGAGAACGGCCCCTTACACTATTGGACTACAGGAAATAGACTGTGAATCCTCTTACCTATGTTTTAAAAATAATCTGGAATCCTTGACCTAGAGAGCAACGCAGCTCTAAATTCTGTGGGAGCGGTTAAGGTAGAAAGTCTTTAAATAGCACGTTCCGCAGAGGACTGATCGTAAGGACACGCTTCTTTGTAGAACAACGAAGTCAAGCATCACTGGCTGTAGTCAGTTAGCAGATGGGTGACCACTTTGATCAGCCTGCATAGGGACAGAGGGTGTGCGGTATCGATTCTCGTTAAACTGTCCTATCGTAAAGTGTTCGACATAACGCGCTGGTTTTCAGGCTACCAAAGCAGGTGAGCCATCCCCTTTTCAGAGGATCAAAATTGCGGTGGCATGTTTTCGGATTATTCCCAGGGATTTTTTCCAGACCGTCGCCAACTGCCCATTGTGCAGCTCTAGCGAGACGTAAATAAAGTACCTACCTTTAAATAGTACATCTTATATTGCTAGCCATGCAGTCATTGGGTTGAGTTAAATATTCCATCTTCATCTCGGTGGCTTGGGCGCTAGTTTGTTTTCACCGGATGAATGCTGAATATCTGATCAGACTGCACTTTCTTCGATTGAGTTTTAATGGTACGGAACTAACTATATCCCCGGTGATTTCTAAGCAAGAAAAGAATGTTACATTGTAGTCAGAGCCGGATTATACCTTTCGTAGGCCCTAGGCATAGCCGTTTTTGGGCCCTCCCCTCCTTCCCCCACTCCTCTTTTTTCAAAATATATGCTAAAATTTTCTTGCATATTTCTTTTTACATTTTTATTAATATGGATTTTAATTTACAAATTTGTTTATCGAACTTTATCTGCAATTCGACAGTATAATACAAGATTTCGTTCAATCCAAATATCGCAAAAAAGTAATATATTAGATGATAAGATTCTGCAAAATAATTTATTACCGAAAAATATTATATTTTTATTTGTATCTTCATAATTTTGTGCAAAATACACTTGTTGTTTTTAAAGCTAAATTATTTTTGTCAACAAATTTTTTTCTCCCAAGTTTTTCGTAGGCCCCTGAATTNTCACAAAAAATGGACACTAAAAATTAAGAAGTTAGGGGACCAAATTTAGAAAGATAAGAGTTTTTTATTTTATTTCTCAGGACTTATTTGACCGATTTTGCTTAAATTTTGTATTTTGACATTTAAATTTGCAAATGATGAAAAAATTGTACGCCTTACATTTCTTAAGTTTCTCGACTTCCCTTAAATAAAGTAATAAAAAATGTTTACTGAAATTTTTATTTTGCATGAAATTATCTTTAGAAAAACGAATAGGAATTTATTGATCTGATTGGAATTGTATGCAAAACTTTTTCAATTCACTTAAAAAAAATTGGGGTATAGTGAACTAATACTAGCGAAAACTAAAGTTAACATTAAATGGTCCTAACTTTCAAGCGCGTTCCTGAAGAAACTATTAAAACAATATTTCTAGATTGAAACTACTATATTTTGGGGGACAGAAATCCGAATCCTTCGAAAAAAGGTATGTTTAATCGGATAACATTTCTATGTCTAATATCCTAACTTAAAATATCGTTTGGACTAATTAATCAGTATATTTGATATCACCCTCTTGAACTATTAGGATCGAGTCCTAGAACATGAAGAACCGAACTTAAGATTAAAATTTATTCCGGTGGGTACATTTATTTTTTTGCGCACTGTGCATTCATTTGAAGTATGTCAATATTGCTGACAATAGCAAAATAATTTTTCTTTTTTACATAGAAAGGTAATTTAGCTGGTGGTTATCTATATATATATATATATATATGCCTTGATCATTAGTGATTCGTTAGTTTTCGATACCATTTTTCTAATCTCTTAAATGCTATTTTTCGATATCTTATGTACTTTTCATATTTATTTCTGACAAGGATTAAAAAAAAATGTATTAAGGGTGATGAGTGCGAAACACCTGGAAACTATAGGTTTTGCTAAGGATGATTCATTTGTATTAGCATGCAAGATAATTTATCATTTTAAGAAATTTTCTCTACTGCTTAAATTTGGGAATTCGATGCGACATTGTTAATGATGGTAAATAAAATATTAGTAGGCAAATAATGCTGGGAAATAAATCTCAGCAATAAGTGATCAGCAAACTTCAAAAGTGTTTTTTTTTTTTAGATTTTAAATGAAATTGAGACAAGTATTAACATTTAGCCTATAATTTCGCTTAAGAGTTAACTAAGCTACATCACAAAAGAAAAGGATCATGTGCTGTCCATTCTAGAAATATTGATTAAGGGAGGTAGTTACGCAAAACCTCTCCTTACTATTAGTTTGGTTATGAAAGGCGAGCCATGACTACATTGTCAAAGACAATCTGACAATAACAATCTGATATCATTTTCGATTTCGTATGAACATGCGTATTGATTTTAAAAAGGTTTCCGCAAGGTGGTCAAATAAATGGTGTACAAAATAAAGGTTTAAGTTAAAACTGTTGATTGCTGTTTCCTCTTTTAGTAGGTGGAGGATCAGCGGGATCTACAGTGGCAGCTCGTTTATCCGAACTACCGTGCTGCAATGTGCTTTTACTAGAGGCTGGAAAAGTAGCGCCCTTGTTAAATGATATACCTGGATATGGAAGAAATTTCTATTTCGATGACATTTATTGGATGTACAAAACTACACCACAAGAAAACACAGCTCGGTTGCAAGTAGATAGAGTAAGTAAAGGTTTTGCTTCTATAATATAAAAGTTTAGTGGAAGAACATATAGGGTGTCTCAAAACTATTGACATAAGTGTTTAGTGCAGATATGGTAAATCATAAAGATTGAAAACTGCATAAAAAGCCATACAAAGTGAAAAAGAAACAACAATGAAAGCAATAACAGAGGTATAGATCTTGAAGAAGTTGGAGAATGATCAATTGTAATCCTTATTTGGACATCATGAGTACAGATGAAGTAATAGATGAATGCAGTTTATAATTTTACAAGAGATGCATGCTCAATTATATGCTATACATGCTGAATACCAAACGAGCGTCCCGCAGTGGACTGGTCGTAATGACGCTGTTCCCAGTAGGACACCGAAGTCAAGCATCACTGGTTGCGGACAGCAAGCTGGTGGGTGACCACTTTGTTCAGCCTGCTTAGGGACCGAAGCTGCGAGGCGTCGGTCCTAGTTCAACTTTGCTACCGTGAAGCGTGAAGGTCGCGATGGTCGCGTGCAGGACCCTCTGCAGAGGATCGAAATTGCGATGGCATGTTTTCGGATCTTCCTCAGGGATGTTTCCCAGACCGTTGCCAATAGCCCATTGTTTTGCTCCAGTGCGAGGTACATAAAATACCCATCTACCGAAGGAGCATTTATTTCCGGACATGGTCATTTTTGTTTTGTCTAGTAGCTGCACAGACAATCTTGCCAAGAAATAAATTCTAAGCATGTCAGTAGTAACATTACAGTGGACGGTTGAAGTGCACTGTTTGGTAGAGCACAATGAGTTTGAATGAACCCTATTTCCCCTTCTTGACTTACAAGAGTTTTGAATATCCGGGGTAAAATGGCACAATTACGGTGTTTCATGCCGCAGAACGTGTATAGGTTGATATTGAGTGTAGAACATTATTGTATTCTAATAGTTATTTAAATATGACTTTTTCTTCCTATATAAATTAAGTTTTGTAAACAGATACCTACTATTTATTTAATAAAATGCAACTTACAATGTTCTTTCACTAAATTTTATTGATTTATGCTGATGCAGAGTGTTTCTATTAAAACAACCTTTATGATATATATGTAGAATACGTGTCAAAAATGAAGTAAAAAAAAAACAATTATTTTTATTAGGTATTAATATTGATTGTAAAGTGAAAAGAAATAGAGATGATACTTCTAGAATATGTGTCAAAGATAAAGTAAAAAAAAATAAAGTAAAAAAAAAACAATTATTTTTTATTAGGGATCAATATTGTTTGTAAAGTGAAAAGAAATAGAGAGGATACTACATGTCTTCGGATCATCCTCAGGGATGTTTCCCAGGCCGTCCACTAGCCCATTGTGCAGATCTAGTGCGACGTAAATGAACTACAGAACAGAACAGTACCAAAATTATAAAAAAAAAATTGGAGTAAAATTTCGAAACTGATAGGTGGAAACTTGCCGTTTCCAATTTAATATTCCGATAACCGAAATCACTTGCAGAGATTCTCTAACAGAAATATTTTTTCTAAATAAGTGAAAAAGAGTAACAGTTTGTTTTTTAAGTATTCGCTTAGAAATTTTACTTCCAGTTTTTTAGTGTTTGAGAGGATGATGGACGGAAGTGGTGTAGAAGCGGCGTGTAAAAGGTATGTTTCTGGATGGTTGAAGAACTTTTACAGGTAAATCTTTAAAGATACCACGGTTACTTTATATACATATATTCTGACTTCTGAGGTTTAAATCAAAGAAGAACAAACATCATAAATTAGAGAAGAACAGCACAAAAATACATCCAGGCTTACGGAGGGAAGGATTTGAACCCGATACCTGCGCGCTTCAAAGCGTTTGGAGGAAGAACTATAACCCTCGGTGAAAATACTGACAGATTCCAGCAGTTCTATAAACAATATCAAAAGTATATAGGGAATATTTTCTGCTGTAAATGAATTTTGTTTATTTTCGTCTTTATTTTAAGAAACCATTCACTGAATTTTACGAACGTAACCTCGTAATAATTCATTGTCTTACAGACAAAAAATAATTTTTTTTGGTATCCTTTACAGAGTTTATATTGGCCCAGTGGAACAGGTCTAGGTGGCTCAAGTCTTTTAAATGCCATGATCAATATTAGAGGAAATAAGAAGAACTTCGATGATTGGGCCGAGGACGGAGCAAAAGGATGGAGTTACGAGGAAGTACTCCCGTATTTTCTGAAGCTTGAAGACGAACGGGATTCTCGATATTACGAACCTGGTATCACTCAATTTATTTAATTGCTTTGTAAAGAATAAATGAAAAAATTAAATAAACAAAAAACAAAATTAAATAGATCAAAAGCAGAGAAATAACATTAATAATTTTAATTTTGCTATGAAATGTTTGAACTTCGTTCTTTAAGATTCTTAAACGATTTTGACTTATTTAGAAATAGTTTTTCATCTTTAGAACAGCCTGACTGCTTTCACTTTGACGAGATATTATGGGTGAACATGACATTGTGAGAATTGTTTTCCTAATTTGGAATAAATTCGCTTGTTATAGGCACTGCAATATTATTTATTAAAATTGCAAAAAAATAAGTATTATGTAAAAGATGTAAAAATAGCTCATTATTTATAATCTGTGAAAATAAATAATTATTTAGCACATGTAAAAATAATTATTTAAAAAAAATGAATATTGAAAAATTGTAAAAAAATAAATATATTTTTAACAGAATTAAAAGGTGCAAAAAAATTCATGCGAAACTATTTCAATCATGTGAATTTCATTTATAAATCGAGTGAAAGAGCCGCGATAGCCCAGTGGCGCGATAGCTGGTGGCGGTTTGAAATTCCCGTTTACTGAGTTATGGAATCTTAACCTTCGATGTTCCCTCAGTCACAATGAGCTGTTGTAAAAATGTTTTACTTTAAATCGAATGAAATCAATACGAATTTAACCGTATTAATAGTTTATATGTTATATAGACTGTATGTTTAAAAATTTAAATATTTATAAAACGAAACATTGCTTTACGAGTTAATATAGTTACGAAATATCCACTCATAAATGGGTGCATGTGTCAGTATCTATACATATTATCCTAAATAAAATTTTCTTATTTTACAATTTATGAGTCCTGTTGACTTGATTTTGGTACTATTCGAATTTGCATAAAAAATATCTTTGGAACAATTTCCTTTTTGTCTAGACAGTAGTAATTAAGTTTCTCCCTTACTTACATTTTAGTATTCTACAACGTATTCAATTTTTGCAAAAAGCAATTTATTACCGACGTGTCCTTTTGCAATTGGTAAATTTTGTTTAACTCGCAACCTAGTATAAAGAATGTTGTTTCACACTTAAAATCAGAATATAAAGTCACAAGAATATAGAGCATAGGAAGTTCCTAAACTGTAGACCTCGATTTTGTCTTAAAACATGGTACAACGATGTGTCGAGGAAAAGATCTGCTGTTTTAAAATTGTTACACACTGTCAAAATAACAGTGTGAAATCGTTCGTTAAAGCAATTACTTCGGCAAGAATGAGGTAGATTAAAGGTCTTGCCTATTTCTGAAAATTTCAATGGGTGTTTGTGTTTCTGTATTGCTGCAAAAGCCGGCCACTTTGAAACCAATTAAATATATTTATTGGTAAAAGTCAACATGTTTTGTTAAATTTCTCTAATTTATTTATTTTTATTATTTTTCGTTAATTTATTTATTATTATAAAGATAGATTAAAAATTGTTTGTCCTGGTTTTTTTTCTTTCACACTCTGTATAACAGAATACCATTCTACTGGAGGACCAATGTCAGTCGAATCTCCAAATTACCATCCCACTATTGAAGATCCGATATTTGAAGCTGCCAGAAGCATGGGGTACGAAATCGTTGATCCTAATGCAGAGAAACAAACTGGTAAGTCAAACAGAATAGCGTTAAATTTATTTCAAATTACTTTTAATCTCAAAAGAAAGGCGCTGTGTGACATTTCAGATGAGTTCTCTATGAAAAAAGAAAACTCATCTGAATTGTCACACGGCGCTTTTCTTTTTCTGCCACAATTGCCGAATGAGAGCGAGCACGTGACTGAGGAGACTGATGTTTCCAACTAAGAGAGGTAGGGAAATATAACAGCGGGTTTGCTCAATTTGTATACCAGCTGTTTGGTGTATCCGGTATATATATATAGGTATATAGCTTATATCCGGTATATAGATTAACGTTATATATATTTGGTATATATATAACGTTAAGCTGTTAAATTATAATTTTCCATTACCTGTATATAAAATAATTTGTTGGTAATATACATGCTTTAATTACACCTATTTTGTTTTATGTTTATTTGAATATTTTAAGTGTTTTTAAAAGATATCAAATACGTAGTTAGTGTTAACTAATATTAATGAAAGAGTTGTTCTTCTCAAAGGATCTTACAATCATTTATTCTTTAATGTATTCTGACATAGACTAATTTAACCTAACTGACTAATTGCCTCTCTTTCTTTAAAATTTTAGGACGTTTATAGCTTGGACAAAAAAAAGCCCCAAGATTTTATGTATTCCGTGATAAGTTTGCTATAATTAAATAATAATTTTTAAACATATTAGTGAGAAATATTTACTATTTTAGCTATATTGTAGTTTTTAAATTATATTGAGTATTGCTAAATATATTTTATCAGATGGTTTGGCTGGTAAATGTAGGAAAACCAAAAAAATCTAGTTTGAATAGAAAATATATTTTAATAATATTATTTTAATATTATTTTAATAATATATAAAAATATTTTTTATCTTGCTATCATAGCTCTTTTCATGTTAGGTTTTGATATATTTTTTTTTCCTCACTTAAATATTGATTTGCAACCCACATACTTTAAGCTTATTTTTGATATCGATTCTCGAAATATATGCTAAAAGCGTTATACATAGAACACCCAATTAAAGTTTATAATTATATTTTTCAAAATGCAACACGTTAACTGCCTATTTTAAGTATTTATTATAATCCTTGTTTCATGATTTTTTTTAAGGATTTGTGGAAGTTCAAGCGTCTCTTCGTAACATGCAAAGGTGGAATACTGCAAAAGCTTACTTGGTGCCTGCAGAACACAGAAAAAACTTACATATTCTTACAAATGCTTACGTAACTAAGGTAAATAGATTAACAAGTAGGTGAATGTCCCAAAATAAACTAGGGGATTTGAAAAATCAGTCATTGAAAAATGGAAGAAGATAGAAATACGTGGAAGATTGACTGAAAGTAAACAATAGTAACCTTTCTAAAGTAAACCTTTCTAAAGCCGGAAGAAATTAAAAAAAAAAACTTCAGGTGTATCCGTTCGCTTTTATTATGCCTACACTGCAATATGTGAACAGGCTTAATATTCTAGGAAGTTTTATTATTGGGATTTGAATTTAAATTTACTCGTGAAAAATTATGCCATTCATAAGAGTTTTCCTTAATTTATAAATTCTACTAGGTCGTGAGCCTAAAAGAATTTTAAGAAAATTAATATCACAGCATAAATAATGTTCAAGGCTTGCCATGTTTTGAATGTTATCCCTTATTTGGTTATATTTGTGTAAAATAGAACCGTTTGTTATTTTTTGGATAGCACCAGAGCAAATTCACGAAGTCATCCGAATTCCTTTCCTGTTTGATTTGTTGAAAGTTAAATTGAAAGAAAGCGTTATATTGAAAACACTACAAATACAATAGCACTTTTTCAAGCTTAAGCGAAAAAAATCAATCTGAAGCAGTAACTTGGATGTCTTACGCCGAATTTTATCTCCTAGCGCCATCTGTGCTTAACTTTTCACGGTCAACCACCCATAGTTTGATGTGTTTCGCTTAGTACACAGGAATAATTTTTCACCTCAACTCTTGAAGTAAATTACAAGGGCCGATGCTGCTGATAAGTAAAAGCATCCAAAAAATGTATTCGAAATAACCACTACTTTCTGCAATAACTTAGCGTAATAGAAGAACAAAATTAACCTACTCCCGAGGAAATATTTCAAATGAATTTTTTGAAATTCAACAGAAAACATTGCTTTATAGTTTTCTAGTCTATGGCGCCATCTGATGGCAAACTTTGTAAAATTTTAAGAGATTTAAAAATCTAATTTCCTTAGTAAAATGCCTCAAAAACTGTAAGTTTCCAGCTGCTACTGTTTTTCTATAAGTTTTTAACTTGTTGATTATTTTTGGGACACTTCTGAGGAAGTGATTTTAGTTTTACTGGTTTCGTTTGCAAACTTCATTTTCATCGTCTAAGAAAACGTCTTCACAATCGACAGAGTTATTAAAAGAACATATTAAGTTTTTACAGCTTAAGAGTTTATAATTTTTTTTATTTTGCTGTCTTAAATTTTTCTCGAAATAATCACAAAACTGCTTTGACATAATTGCTAGTAATTTAATTATTTCCAGTTAAAGCCTTGCTTTTCTCTCCTAGATATTGCTCCAGAATAATAGAGCAGTCGGTGTTTCATTTGAAGTGAATGGAGAAATATACGCAATAGAAGCAAAGAAAGAAGTAATTGTATCTGCTGGAAGTGTGAAAACTCCTCAATTGTTGATGCTCTCTGGAATAGGACCAAAAAATGATCTTACAAAACTTGGAGTAAGTTTAGGATTTAAACAATGATAAGCTGTTTTAACCAATAAGTCTGACTGACTAATTGAAATTTTTTTTATTACGTAGTGTACCGTACACATTTAAATTATAAATCTGACTTAAGAGTACACTTTTTTTTAAATGCATATAAAATGAAGTCAAAACAAAAACCTGATATAGAATTAGAGTATTCAAAATATTGAATGTCTTTATTTTATTTTGCATTTTATAACCGTCATTGCAGCTGACTGAATTTTAAGTTTATGACCAATGTTCAGCTCGGGTGGCTTGAAATGTTGCACCCAATCTAGAAGACAAGAGAACTCTTGGATCAAGTATTGGAAGAAATTTGCCTCCGTGGAGGACTTTTTGATCGAACGTTAGTTCCATCAACATTTGAGTTATTTAGAGATTTTCGCGGAAACCTTTATCACGGAAACCTTTAGCGGTTATCCTGACGACAAGGGGACTGATGGCAGCACATAATCCGTCTATCACTGAGGATATTACAGCATTGTGGTCGGTGCGAGCCGGGTGCTAAATTCGTATTGATCAGCTATCACTGTGATTCGAACCAGTGCTCTTGAACTTCCTTATTGAATTATTTTCGTATAGTCTTTTGCAGTAAAATTGCAATTCAAAGGAAACATCTAATACCAAATTTTTTCAGATTCCTGTCGTAGCTGACCTACCTGTAGGACATAATTTGCAAGACCACTGTTCATGTACCATGAATTTTGCTTTGGACTCTAATTTAGAGACTGCAGACGAANTATGTACTCCCAACGAGGCAACACAGGGGGTACCTTTTCATAGATGACGGTTGACATGGTCTGTAACTCCACCCCCACAATAACTTATTTGAAGGAGTATTTCGGTAGAAATTATTATATTAGTTTTATTAGAAGTAATATTTTTAATCTGTTTAAATGTTAATGTAATTCAATTCGACAGATATTGCTAAATAAAGAAGCCGCCAGTGATGTTTAAACATTTACATTCATCAAATCTAACGTTTAGAAAAAATTTCTTTTTAATTCTAGTCTGCTGCCGAGCTATTATAAGAAAGCTTGATAATTATCTCCTTCGAAGAGGTTGGGCAGCTCCAAGGAGCGGGGCACATTGATTTGTGGTCCATTGTATCCAAAACCTAAATCATGATTAACAAGAAAGCTTTATAGTTGAAATGTTCAGCTATAAAAGCTTGACAGGAACGTTTTGTAGTTCCCAGGCCTTAATGTAGTGATGCCTTAAATACTCAAATCTTTTAGCAGAATAGACCTCACAATCACACAGTATATGTCGTGAAGTCTCCTTCTCAAGAGGGCAACTTCGACACAAAGAATCAGATTCAATACCCATTATGTATAGGCATCTCCTGAGGGAGCAGTGTCCACTGAGAAGACTTAACTTAATAAGTCATTATCCACCAATACGGAGGCTGACGATATTCAAAAATTTTAGAAACCCATTTATTGCCATTTGCAGGTAGTCGGTATTTCGAGATAGGTCGGTATTTTTGTCCATGACGAACTTTCCAGCAATACAGTGTCTCCATCTACTTTGCAAAATCTTGAAATTATGGTTTTTTGGCTAATAAGGCGCATCTTATCAATTACCTTCCGTTTCCGCGTCCTTAATCCTCAAGAAAACGAGGGCTATCCTCAGTAGGACTGCATATAACAAATGTAGCAGTTTTAGCTCACTGCAGAATTGTAGGCTGCCCTCATTAAAACCCGGGACAAGTACTGAGACTAATGTCTTTCAGGAATTTGTAAATGGTAAGCAAAATCATATATTTCAAGTAATGAACCTAACCGATATACACTGGCGTAAGAAATTAAGAGACTTTGCAGTCCTGGCCGATTATCTCTAGAACTACTGGACCGATTTTAGCAAAATTTGATAAGTGCATACATTGATACATTGTACATAAAATGCATGATCGTACGTAACACTCGTTGGAGACGGAAGTTAAGGAATTGCCACCCGACAATACAGGCCAATTACTACAGGAAATGACAAACTTCCTTATTTCAAGTATGAAATCACGCTGCCAGGCCTGTATAACTGTAAGAGGGGACTATATCCCCTATTAACCCACTTTTTTGTTTATTATGTAACCGCTGTTTCATACCTTCCAATTCCAATGAGTGTTACGCACGATAATGCGTGTGTATACCCACTTTTACCCGGATAAAGCAGACAAATTAGTTATTCCTTGTAAATATGTGTTTCGATGTAGACTATTTTAATGTATATGTTTGTAATAAAATAAAGAGTTTATCTTTATGTCTATAGCAATTTATGCTAACCTTTAAAAAAGAATTTGCAAAATAAAAAGAATTCGTTTGGAAGAGACGTCTCTTCTACGTTTGAAAGATGGAATATTCTGATAAAACTAAAACTGCAAGCGATTCAATTAAAAAAAAAAACATTTTACAGATTGCATCAGTGATGTTCGCTAACTTTCAACTGTCATTAAAAGAAAGTGTTGAGTGCTTGTTCTTAGCTGTTTAATTAATTTTTTTGTTCGATGCATGAAACTCAAGGAACACTGTAAACGTGGTAGCACAGACCACTTTGTCACCAAACTAGCGTTTCTAAAGCTATCTGAAACTACGTGTTTAGACTGTTTAGAGTTATGCTTAAGGTGTTACCATAAAACTGAATAGTTTGAAATCAATGGTATTTGAAAAAGAGAAATACACAATCCACCGAAAAGCCAAATAGACGTAGAAACAGTACTTATTTGTTTAAGAGAAACGCAAAAGCTCTCTACACCATTATTGATGCCAATGATGCTTGATCAATTTCGGAAGTAGGTACTAAAATTTAAATAAAAAAATAAGCTATTGTTAAATAGAGACACTAATAGAGAAAGGGTACAAGTTTTTTAAGGAAATCGTGAAAAGTTTTCAAACAATGGTTGACGTCAAGGATGGTTAATTAAATTTGGCAATAAACATATTTGGTGTTATGCTTATTGGTGCAGTTCTAATAGGTACTTGGAAGTTTTGACTATCACAAAATTGCCTCGAGCGACAGCACAATGACAAATGATACTGAAAAAAGTTAATCGTTATTTTGAAGTTATAAGCACCAAAAAAACATGTTTCGTTTATTTAATAATGTAAAGTCCTACTAAAGTACAAAAAATAATAATAAGTGAAACAAAGTTGGAATTATTTTAGCTTTATTAATTTATTAATTGTGTTTAGCACACACTATTAAATACACACTATTAAATTATTTAAAAAAAATACTTAATATTTTTTAAAATAACAATTTGATACAAACATGCTTCATAAATTTCATGCGAAACATAACATTTATAGGCGTTTTGGCTGGACCATTCAGTGTCACTGCTATGGCATTTTTAAGAGGTTCATGTACCAAACCTGAAAAGGATTTTCCAAACTTTCAACTTTATTATAATCTTGGCTCTACGGTTATCAACAAAGCTCTGTCTGATGTCTTGATCCCTGGGGTAAGAAATTATATTGGAATGATTTTTGTATCTTTATCTTCCTTGTGGCATAATTTAGTATACATTCGAGAAAATTACTTGCTAAATTAGTGGATTTCTAATGAGCTTTCTTAATGGTCAGGATAATTGTTACTCCTGATTGAGGGTTCACATAAAAGTATGTCTTACTTTTTAAATCGGTGGTCCACATGCAGACGCAGTATTTGATAAATAGCACATGAGGGGTGTTCTGTTGTGACCACCCTTAATATTATATTATATATATATATATATATAANTAGATATATATATATTAGATATCCCTTGTTAAAAGTGAAGAAAAAAAGGCAAAAGAAGTTCCAAGAAAGAATTTAAGAGATAGTATAACAAGAGTGTTATCAAAATCTTATAAATCGTTATTTTGAATTCTGTTTGAGTGCCTGAAAAAAAAACAAAGAAGAGTTAAAAAGAGATTAGTAAAAACATCTCAGAGTGTTTTGAATTTATCTATCAGGATCTGGTGTTTCTTCTCTTATCTTCTTCAATGGTGGTACGGCAGATTTCTGTGTCATTTTCGTTTTTTCCTCGTTTAAAGATAAATTTGTGACTCCTAACTTAATTTTTTTGACAACATTTTCAATAAGAATTCTAAAAATATTTTGATTTACTAACCACCTTCTGCTATTAACTCGTTAACTGTGACCAGCTTCCAACACTGTGACGATCAAATATAATAATCATTTAGTTTTTGAATACTTATGTTAGTTGACATTTTTGTTTCTAGCACGCGTTTTTAATTCCTTCAGAATTTATATTATGAGCTTAGCCAGTTTTAACTGGGTATTTCATTTTTTTCCACGCTTTTGTTTCTCCTATTTTGAAGCATTTTGTTATGATGCTGTAACCACAACAGCACACAATTGAAAATATGAAAAAACAAATAAACAAGTTTTCAATATTGCATGTGAACAACTCAACGTAGAAGGAGGAAAATTATCGCAAAATGATTTAAAAATTATATATAAGCAATCTGTAACAAATATACCGTGCCTATCGGTGATACCACTCTAAAGATATTAATAAAGTTTAATCAGTAATAATAGGTTTTAGCAGAGAAATTTTGCTTTTTAGATACTGCTACTGAACTACACAACGCCGGAAAGTGTTGATTGTTTAAAAGCTGAAGAAAAAACATGATAAAAATCGCTGCTCTATTCACCTGCTATTCGTGATTACACATACAGATAAACTTCATATATCTTTTATATATACATGTATTAAGAACATCCTGTATATTTTAAAAAGAAGGTATTGTCCACAGATGAAAATGTCTATAAAGCACACATTCAAATTTTCTGCTTAAAGAACTGTAAATAAAGGATATCGTGAAGTAGTTTCTTGAAAATTTCAGTTTTTTTTGTTTGCAATGGAACACTAGAGCCACTAGAACACTAGGAATGAATTGATTGCTTGCATGTGTGTTGCGTCTAGTTCCTCTCTCTAGATTTAATCCCTACATTTTTTGTTGTTCATGATTTTTTTAAAGAGTTTTGACGTAGTAGTTTATATCTGGAGTGAAAATATGTTAGTGAAAATGGGAAGTTAAATTCGAAGTGTAGCAACTTATTAAAAATTTATATTCCTTAATAAACTTTCACGCTATAATAAGGTAAGTAACTAAAATGTATGAATCATATAAATTAATTATTTGTTGGAATCAAAATTTTAAGTCCAGTTGCTTATGACTAAACCCATTTTAAGTATATTTACGCGTAGTATATATAATTTAATGGAAATATATAGACTAAAACAACGATAGCACAGAAAGATAAGAATATAGGATTATAAGAAAATGAGTTAGTTAACTAAATAGATTTAAGTTCAACCTACAGTGCGATGAAATTTGAGATACGATATTAATGATGTAAATTATATTTTATCAATTTCATGCTTTAATTTGCTATTTTTAAAATGCAACAAAACTCTATAATTTTTCATTCTTAAGCTAAATTTTAAATGTGTAATATTACGCAATTTAGTTTAACAAATACATAATTATATTGCCATATCAGCACAATTGACTTTTTGTTCAATAATTATAAGTTATTGAGAAATCAAATATTTTGTTTAAAAGTAATATTTATATCTTCATTTGAAGGCATATCAACAGATATTTGGACCTTATGAAAATAGGCCTTTTTATCAGTGTTTTGCACAGCATCTGCAGCCAAAAAGCAGAGGATACGTAAAATTAAACTCCACAAATCCTTATGACCCACCAATCATTAATCCTAATTATTACGATGATCCACAGGATCTGAGGGACATTGTTGAAGGTAAGGATTTTGACCTTTTCTGAACTTTAGGTGCTATTTAACTGCACGGTGTGCAAAATGAAATACGTAATACCTACATAACTTTTGATATGGTGACTATATTGTCAAGTTCTTATATTAAATTAGATATGCTATCACGATCCTAAAACATGGAGGGTAGCAGCAATTGAGAAAGTATAGCGTCAATATTCTGTTCAGGAGAGTACCTTCAAATTTATACCCCTGGATAATAATTTCTATTTCTTCATATTTATTCATCTCAAAGAAGGCTCATTTTTAATTTTTATTCAACAGAACACAGTAGTCTCATCCGTTGGTCAAAATTACAGTCTTTTATTTGAAGGCAAAACTACTGAGGTTTCTCTTAACTTACCTGTGCGACATAACTTTAGATGACAAGCGTTTGTGCCACTTAAGATTTTGTTATAATTAACATCAATATCACTCCTGAAATACTGAACAGAATCACCATTACCAATGGATGGTTTTACGGAAAACTAAACTATTAATTTATAGAAGTCTTATGAGACTCACACGTCAGAAATTTGGACACTGGCACAAAAAGATTAAAACGCTCGTGGAGTTTTTAATCTGTAGATACTAAGAGCTATATTTTTAGTGGAATACAAATGGATGGACAGACGCTCAAATATAGAACTTTATCGTACCGTCAAAGATCCTGACGTAATCCCAAAACATAATAAATTGAAAGAATTAAAGTTGCTGACCAGAGCCGCGATGACTCAGGGGATAGAGCGTTCGAGAGGGGATAGAGCGACTGAGAAGGGCAACAACTAATAATAATTATTAAAAAAAAAATTAGAATCATTTCAACTTTATTATTTATGTCGGTATTTGTTTAAAAGTTTTGTGCACAACTTTGTAGTGATGTTTAATACTGATTAGTTGATGCTTTTTTCACCCCTTGTGAAGAACGGGTATTCAGCTAGTATATAATGAAAAATTATATTTTAGCTTTCATTAGTATTTTATTTTAAATATTTTCATACAGGCAACTGAAGTATTAAATAAATAAGGGATTACTGATTGCATTTGTGGGGGGGGGGGGGTTATCGACNGGGGGGGGAGTTATCGACAATGTCAACCTTCATCTATCAAAAGGTACCTCATGATTGAATCACGAGGTACCTTTTGATAGATGAAGGTTGGCATGGTTGATAACTCCTCCCCCACATAGGTGACCCGGAAGTGAATTGAACACGCAGTGACGCCCACTTCTCAAAAATCTTAACAGTAACGGCCACTTCAGTCTGGTAATGCCTACTTCGTTGGATGATCAACATTGAACAGTTGACTTGCTACTTGTGACTGCGACATAATCAACCTCCTCACGCTGTTGCTACTCAGTCTCGTTTCGATTAAACACGGCTGCCTGCATACACTCGACTGCTAATGGCAACACAGGAGCGTCTACGACTGTGAAGTTAATACACCTCTCACATTTGGCACTCAAAAACCCGGTGACCTTAATTGCAGCTCTCTCGGTCTTTCACAAGTGCAGCAACTAGTGGTATTCGTCCATTGAATTTTATCCCTGATAAAATTCTGGTGGGGGAGTATTGTGGCGTAACTACCACTACGAAAATTAAACATCAATTCACTGGTATATAAGACATACTAACTTGATTCAATCAGAGGTACCTTTTGATAGATGCAGGTTGGCATGGTTGATAACTCCGCCCCCACATGCTGAATATGAGAGGTGTATTAACTTCACAGTCGTAGTCGCTCCTCTGTTGCCATTAGCAGTATGATAATAAAATATAATATAATAAAAGGTTTCAAAAGTCACTGCTTGTTAAAAAAACAAATAACCCAAGCCCTAACTAACGGAACTCCTGCAATTCTCCCGGAACACCATTTGGGAACCACTGCTCTGGGCTACTTTTGGAACGCGGGACCCGTATCCACTTAAACAAGATAAAATTTCTGAGAAGGGGTAAATATATTACTCTTGTCACTAAACATAGCCAAATGTTACCAGAGGTGGTACAGGCGGTGTGAGAGTTCGTTAGTGAAATGAAATAGCATGGCGGAAATTAAAAGTTTCTTTGTAAGCATTTAATTTTCTGAGTGACTAAATATGTTGTATTTTACGAAACGTCAAAAATTGGAATATTTTTTGTATTTAATAATTGGAAATATACAATGCATCGCATGCCAATTAATTTTTAATTTTTACAGGACTAAAAGTTTGTTACAAGATCGGAACTAGTAAATCAATGCAAAAAATTGGATCAGAACCTTTTGCTACAGTTTTTCCAGGCTGCGAAAATTTTTTGCAGAATAGTGACGAATATTTCACGTGCATGGCAAGATCATTGGCATTCACAATAAGTCATTATGTTGGAACTGCGAAAATGGGTGCTGTAGACGATCCAAGAACAGTAGTTGATCCTCAATTAAAGTAATTTTTTCGTTCGAGTTTACTTTCATAAATAAATAAATTAATTAATAAAGTAATGAATAAAGTTTAAAAAAAAGCTGTACTACAGATAAATTTTGGAACTGTAATGATCAATAAATGAACCTAGTTAAAAAATAAAAATACGATTCACTACAAAATGAAGAAAATTGTGATCGCCTCAAGGCGATCACAGGTTACCCATTGACAAATTGGTTGCTGTCTAATTTTTTTTTATAAAAGAAACTTTTTCGCAGACATATTTAAATGCAGCTCAGACACATTCTGTGTAAATTATTTTGATGACTGAATAGACATTGAACGACCAATCGAGATCAATATTAACATTTTCGGATTGGTACAACGGTGTGTGATGGAGAATGTAAGCTGCATCATACACCCGTTTCGGATTCACGAGTTCATACATGAAATATGATTTGAAAGCTAGGCTTTTATTCAATTTTACATGAATTGTGAATGAATTATTTATATTGCGCTGAAGACAGTCTACGGTCTTGTGCAAGTTATTGGGTACGTTGACAATGGATCCTTTTATCTCTAACTGATGATCAACACTCAGTTCTCGTATTTGCATGAAAGGGATTCGGAAAGTCACCATTCGCTCTTCGGTAAGGTTCAATTCTCTTAACTACTTCGGTACTTTTGTGAGGGACGGGCTTCATGCTTGCGTTTGTGAACGGAATCCTTTCGTTTTTCCGTTTGTGTTTAAAGCTTAAGGTATTTCCGTCTGCATTCTTTGGCGTTTGCTTTTTTTGCCTCGGCACGTTTAGGCCTTGGCATCATTTTTTCCTGCTTCAACTCTAACTTTTAGGACCGTGTCAGTCAGTTTGGACCCTCTTTATTTGTGATATTCACCTGAATTAGTATTGAAAAGGATCTAGTTTGAACTGTAGGTTAGAATTTCTGATTCTTAATTAAAACAATAAAAACAAAACGATCGTTCAAATGATGAAATTCTTTTTTATTCACAACTCAAGAAGCATTTATGTGATCTCTCTGGTTCCATATCTTAAAAATAAACTCATAAACTTAATGCATAACAAAGTTAAAAGTGAAAAAAGAATTCTAAAAAAATTATCAAGTAGCCGCAGTCGTCATAGCAACGCATGTGCTCTGTTTAATATGTTTACTGTTACTCTTGTTTATTGCAGTTGAAAAGTGAGGACACCATGAACACCAAACCAAGACCCATTTTGCCTATGGGTAAAAACATTTGGTTAGGGAAAGCATCACGTGCATGACAAGATCATTGGCATTCACTATAAATCATTAAATTGGAACTGCGAAAGTGGGTACTGTAAACGATCCAAAAACAGTAGTTGATCCCCTATTGAATCAAATTTTTCTTTTGAGTTTACTTTCATAAATAAATAAATTAATTTATAAAGTAATGAGTAAAAAAGAAACATTTAGTTAGTGAAAGTATCTTTTCCTGCAGTATTCCATATCATACTATTAAATGATGTCCCATTATTCAAGCAAAAATTAAATTAAAATTTAACAGTGGTTCAGAAATTAAATGTTAACAGAAAGAACAAGGTAGCGGAGTTGCTGTCAGTTTCGGGTAATTAAAAAGGGAGCTTTGAACAAAAAAAAAGAACATGTTTTCATTTTCCAGCGATATCATGAGCATTGTTGAGTCATTTCCTTATAGTTTAAACTGTTGCTTTGAATAAGAACTGGCAGCTCTGATAATGGAATCGGACTTTCTGCTGCAATAGAGCCTTTTTATTGTTAAGTCGTCTAAGGTTTATATCACCAAGTTCATAACCAACCAATCCATGAAGGAAGAAAATGATAGCTCGATCAACGAGATTCAGTCACAGTTATGATCAATCATACTAAGTGGAATTCAAACTAGGCTTAACAGAGCAAGGGGGAAAATAAATAAAATATTATAAAACTATTCAATACAATTGACAGATATTTAACAATTAAAATATAATTATTTTTATACAACTAGAGATACATTTTGAAACGGCGAACTTCAGCTTCTTTAGATATTTAGTAGCATGGAAGAGAATAACAACATCCCGCCAATTGCCAACGATCTAGAATCGATATCCAAAATTTGCAAAAATTGGTGTTTTCGGAAAGGAAAATAATTCGAAAATGGCGTGGACGTGTGGAGCTTGGTTTGTGATTTCTCCTTTATTTGTGTTTAGGTCAGAGTACTCTTTTCGAAGTGTATATGAGTGTTCAATTTGATGTTAACATGAAATAAAAGAGTTCTTTAGCAAAATTTCTTTAGATTATTCAACTCGAAATTCGAAGACATACAGATATTACAGAACTGAGTATAAGTCGGAGACAAATACTTCAACTATCACTTCATAGCTCTGGTATAAACTGTTGTGACTTCATTAGTTATAACATTCTTTCCTGGTTGAGAGTTCTATCTGAAGAATGATGACGAACTTCACTTGCATAGCAAAAAGTTTGGCATTATTTACTGGTATCCATTTTGTTGGTATATTAAAAATGGGTACTGTAAAAAATTAATCACTTTTGGCACTATTGACGTTAAAAATTGAACAATTATTTTCTGCTGCCTATGAGTCCATTTCAACTGAAATGTTTGAACGATAGTCTGTGAATTTTGTCCTCAGATTGTACCACGTTGTTGCTTCAAATAATGGTTATTTTGCAAAACAAAATTGTTTCATAGTTTATGTGTTCTCTGCTTATTTATTATAGCTAATAGTTTTCTTAATTAGCAAACGCATCTGTTAATGAATTTAATTCCGATATTTGGTTTGAAAAAAATGATGGTTAACTACGCAAAAAGCAGCAAATCCTCCAATTATATCCTTTTTCGTTTTGAACGGTGGTAATTTTTAAGATATTGTGATATGCGACATGCTTTCACTTCTTTTTTTTTATAACTTCGGATTCATCAATCATCAATTAGAAGGAATTTTTCTCATCATCAAGTCAAGAATTTTTCCATACTGATATTGAAACTATTTTCGTACAAACTCTTATGTGTGTTTTCCTTATTCGAATATGGTAAGCATATGCCAATTAAAAAATCACTGAAAAGAAAATTGCTCAACATAGTTCTAGCGATGCAGAAATTCTGAGCAATATTAATATCAAAATCTTTTTCTGACTAACTTTTTTATTGAAAATATTTTCTGCTCCTTATATATCATATATTATATCTGCTCCTTATATATTATAGTCAACAAGATGGGATTCTAAAAATTGCAATAACACCGTCGCTCACCAACATTAAATATTTCTTTTTAATAATTGCTATTTTTTGGCATAAAATTTTTTTAAAAAGGAAAATTGATATTATTTGCTTTAAATGCATGCACTAAAAAAAAATTCTGTAAGCTTACGCTTGAGCTCCCACTTTCCAAGTTCAAATATTTCTCTTATGATTCTTATGAGATCTATTAGTAAACAGGAGTGATTTGTCTAAGTGATCATATTTTAAAATAGCATTTAAAATTAAAAGTACATTGTTACAACCAATTTGGTAAGTTCACAGAAGTAATTTATAATTTTCGCTTACCGAACGGTCAGTTATATTAAATGCAATTTTTGCATGCACAACATTGTGAATGAAGCTGACCATTAAGTTAACTGTAATTTGTTGTAGTTTATAAATGTAATTTGCGCAAAATATAATAATTGCGAAACTGCTAATAGGATTAAACACCGTTTTAAATAACTTTATCATAGAATATAATGCAGAATATTACGTTATTATACTACTACTAATGACAATAAAATAAAAAAAAATTCTCTTAGTTTTAAACTAATAATTTAGAAAACTTTTAAAATCAAAAACATAATAATATCAGTACAGGTAAATACCTTTAAATTAGGAATGCAAAAATATTTATAGAAAAACAATACTTTTGTAAAATTTACTCTGATGAGAACCAAAACAATATTGAAATCAATGCAGGTAAAACTGAATCTTACCTCGTGATTTTACGGCCAATAAAAATGCATCGACAACAAAATAAAACTGTGTTTGACCATTATGTTTTTATGCTATATAGAGATATGTAATCTCTATAATCAGATTTGTTCACCTAAAAAATGAGAAAAAAATGAAAGGGGAAAAAAAAAACAAGGCTGAAAGTATCGTCTATTATTGGAAAAGTGTTATTTTTTCATTATTAATAACCCCGAAATACAAAATGCTAATAACAGTCGCTCTTTATATTTTTTTTCTGTTAGAAAATATTTTGAGCACGAATTTTCAGTAAAAAATTAAATTTATATATTGCGTGAATTTTAGGTCACTTTTTATAAAAATAAGTTAAGAAAAATTATGATTCAAGAATTTAATCCTAAATATAGGCTAAATTAGACCCTGAATAAAAATTGTTTTACTAAAATTAAGTCATCAATATAAAATTTAGCGAAAGTAAGCAAGTTAATTTTTCTGATGAAGTTTCAGAAAAAATAACTTACTGAAATAACTTTTGAACAAAATCGTAAAAACGAGCTTCTTGTAGAACTGAAAACTGGATGTCAAACTTTTAAATACAAGATGCGTAAAAAACTAGAAATAATTTTTGGTTAAGTCATATTTGTTAAGTTTAAAGTCACATTCTCGTTAAATGAAATTTTAAATAACTTTGCATATATTTTTATTCTTATTTGTTTCTCTTCATATTTCAGGGTGAAGGGTATCAGGGGTCTTCGTGTAGTGGATGCGTCTGTGTTTCCTATTATAACATCTGGAAATACAAACATTCCAACAATTATGGTGGCAGAAAAAGCTGCAGACATGATTAAAGCGAGTACTAAATGCTAGAGACACATTTCAATGGTTTAACCAAGAAAAATTCTAATTTGGTTTCACAGAGTTAGTTATCTATTGACATAAAATTGAAGTCGAATAAATTTGTTCGGTCACCCATCAGGCTTTGACATTATAATTTTATAAATTCCTATTTAAATTTTTACAATTCGTTAAAACTCGTTAAATGTTTCTCTCCAAATAGATTGCTTAGTAAGACTGCGAAAGTAATTTCTAAAAATGTTTTGCAATTTTGTATTCGTTTCTTTTTAATGGAAGCTATCTTACATTAAAATTTCTGGTGAAAGTAAATCTAACTTATTCTTTCTTTAATATGTGTGAAACGGTTAGAAAGTTAGATTCATTTTTAATTATATTTATCCGAAAATTTTAAGGATAAAGTTAATATACACAGTATTACTTTATAATAAAGTAATACCATTTTTAGTTGTCAGCCTTTTATTTTGAATTAATAATCAAAATACAATCCTAATAAACGCAGAGAATAGTACTGAGTGAGGGTGATAAATATAGTGCACGTAAATACCTTTAAATTGTTGATATAGAATAATTTAACGGGTACCAAATACCCTTTATTAATTTCATACCGTTTGGATCGTATTGGTTAATTAAGGAACCATTTTATGTGATTTGCTGACCAATCAGAATGTGTAAAAAACATAATGTTTCGAGGCAATTTGAATTAAATGTTTGCTTCGATCTGTTATAAAATTTGTGTAATAACATTGAAAATTTTAATGTTTCTAGGTAAACTGTAACTGTAGTAAAATGTATATTTTGTTTGATATTATTGATTTGACTTAAATTTGTCATATTTCTTCCCATAAACCTGTGCTTAAAATTTCTTTTTTGTTGGTTGAACAGATTTCCTAACAAAATAGTTTTTCAAGATCGTCTTTTTAGCTCATTTCTTATATCTACTTTCCAAAAGAAGAAATGTTACAAAATTTGTATACAATTTTAATGTTTGTAAATAAAATGCAAGTGTAGTAAAATGTATATTTTCGCATAATTGATTTGACTTAAATTTGTTATTTTTCTCTCCTTGAAGCAGTGTTTAAGAAATTTTTTTTTGCTGGTTGAAATTTTTTTTTAAACAAATAGTTCTAAATTCTTTTTCCTGCTCACTCTTTTAGGTTTTTTCTTATATCCACTTTTTCTTCCTTTTAGTAATATCATGCCGGTTTATAAGGGAAAAAAGTATAATCTTCATAACTGCATTTTATATTAGTTATTTAAATTAAGAGTTATTAAATTATTTCCTTTACGAAATGTTTAACTATTTTCAATAAAGAATTTGAATTCGTTAAAGTTTCTTGTTTTATTTAACAAAAAACTAAGAAAGTCTAGTTACTTTTACTTCATGTGTAACTCCGGTGGGGGAAAATCATTTTTATTAAGTGAAAAACAGCGTTAAAATCTATAATCCATTTACACAAGGACAGAAAACGAACGGTTGTAAGCCGTCCGCTGTCGCCTGAAAAAAGCCTGAAAAAAAAAAGCCTTGGTAAATTTAAGCCATTCCTGAAGTTAATAACCTCCCTCCAGGTAACAAAAAGGATATTATCTAACATTAAAAAGATGCTATATAATGCTGCAGTGCCAGAAAAAGCTAGACTCTTGAATCCTATCTTCTAATATTAGACCTAATATTAAAAAAGATTAAATAGTATTCGATCTAACATTCGAACTTTCAAAATTAACATCTATTTCATTACTTTTGGTCCAGCGCCACTTTTTCGCGAAAGGGTATCGCATATTATTAATAAATAAACATTTATTTAGGAAAGAAAACATTAAATTAAATCATTTTAGCCAATGCAATTTTATGCCAGAGAACACAAGAAAATGTTAGCTGAAGTAAACTGAATTCGCGAATGATATAAAACTGGAAAAACTTTTTCAACTGTTGAATTGTAACTCGTCGCGGAGGTTTACTACATCGTCATAGTTCCATCGGCGCCATTGTTCGTGGTCGGCAGAAGAATGAATTTTTCAATCTCAAAAGTATTTATAATTTAGTAATTTTTTAGTAAACTTTATAAATTACAATGATGGATACTTAAAACCTTGAAATAGTATCGCAGGTAGTATTTTTCCTTTAGTTAAAAATCAGCTAGAAAAGCAGCATAAAGCACTTCAATGCATGATGTATTAGAGAGGATGATGATGTAGAAACATTCAGTGTACTCAATAATCTTGACCGATTAATCAAATTATTCAAGAATTAATTTAATGATCATGTGTCTAATAAAGTCAGTAAATATTATGATTAGGCCCATTCTTTACAGCGTATTGTCAAACTGTAAATAATAAGTTTTGTAGGTAGATTAGAATAGGCTCCTAAAAACAATTATTCGCATTAATTCAAATTAATTGGTTATTCGCATTAATTCAAATTAATTGGTTAGTCGCATCAGACAGATTTTAACTGCAACAATGATGAAGATAAAAAATAATTTTCAATAAACAAGTTTACCATGTTAAAATAATTATTAATTAATCGGCTACTTTTCAGATAAAATCATTACATTTTAGAATCTTCGAGACGAACACTATTGTTACTTTATAAAAGTTTCCTGTTTAAAATATTGTAAAATAATGAGATAAACATTTTTATTTTCATTTCTTGAACATCGACTGATTTGCATATTTTTGATACATGATTATTTATATTAATTTGTAAATGATAGCAAATGATTAAAAAATAAGCAAAAATACGGTCTATTCAAAATATGTTTACGTTGAATAAAGAGCAGTGTGGAAAAGGAGTAACAATTTTCATTCAGGAAGTTTAAAAGAAATGTAAACATTTCCAATTGGCTCAATGAGCTTGTGCAATGTACAATGTATTTTGGCAGGTAAGTGTCATTGGGCTTTATCTTTAAAAAAAAATTAGAAGGTATTGAATTTTTTTATCAGTATATACTTGAATGTTCACTTCAAGTAAAAAGGGTTGAAAAGTTCTGTAATATAATATCATTTTCTTTTTTTTTAAAGAAAGAATAAATTTTTTACTTGGGAATCTGTAAAAATTAAATACTTTTCGATTCTTGCATGGCGATACAGAGATTTTTTGGAGCAAGTAAGTGATATGGAAATCTATTCATTAAATTTTAGACACTTTCAAATTAAATAATTAAAGTTTTAAATAAATATTCAATGCCTAATAGTTTCAAATTTAGTTTTAACTAATTTATTGTTTTTAATGTAAAGTTTCACTTTTTTTCTCTTATAATTTTAGCTTAGTTTGCTGAATAAACAAGTTAATCTACCAGGAAGGAACAATTCCATTTTGAGATGGGATCCTGACAAGATTTTCGATCCTGACAAAAAACAGAGCAACTAATGTGTATATGCTGATAGGTCCACTTTAAATTTGCCGGAGTTAAAAGTTCTCTTATTTGTTGTTGTGTAGAAGTTTGAAGATAGGCGCATCCCTGTGTGATTCATTCCTATTGTGTGTGTTTGTGTCATTGTACTTATTTTTAACTGTTGCTGATCATTTTATAAAATCTTTCAAAAAAGTAATTAAAGATGTTTATCGCACCGAAATACAGTAGCAAGTAAACAAAAAATTGCATTTGAAGGAAAAAAAAAACTTTAAATTGCATGAATGACTGTAAAATTTTGGAATTTTTTTTTAATTTAAAAATAATAATAACTAAAATGATAGCACATAGTCCAACTGTTGTTTTTTGGAATAAAAAATAAAAATTATTTTATTTAATTACAAATATGTGTTCTTAACTTTTATTTTACCAAAGGATTATCGATATGCTTTTATTAAACAATGACGGTAAGAATGTACTGCTTTTATGATTGAGTTGAGTTTACATTTATATCGTGTTTTGTTTTAAAATAAAATAAAAATTAAGTTGTAGAATAATGTTTGTCATGAATTTTTTTTGATTCTAACTACTGCATTGTGTAATTTATTCTGCAACTTCGTAATAAATCTTAAGAATGTTTGAAAAGGGGGGTTGGCGGAGATGACGTGCTCATTAAGTCCTTGCACTATTTTCACGAGTTTAACCAATACCTCCTAAAGAGGAATCAAGCCCCACAACGGGTTACTATAGGCGATGATGACGTAGTAGAGTTAGGCCCAGAGGGAAACCAGTCAGGGTAGCTATTTTTACGAAAAACTCCGAATCTGATCAAACGAGCCATTGGCGATATTCTCAAGTATTATAACCTGTGTCGGCATTCAGCCAATTGGCGAATATTTTTGATTTGAATTTGTAAACAACCGTGTGTGTTCTGGTGTCAACGTTCTTCGTAAAATTTATATTTATTCAACAAATGTTGTAAATGTCAGCATTAATTTAATTCTTAGTGTTATGGATAATTGCCAATGAGTGCTGTGTACCAAACTGCAGAGGATTTTACAAAGTTGATGGTACAAAAGCATTAAATTTTGGATTTCCCAATACGTAAGAAATGGCTTGCCGCCATGCCAAGAGATTTTGAAGTTGCAAAGAATTCTAAAGTGAGTAATATTTGTTCTTATTTTTAAAAATTTAATTATGCTTCTTTATTATATTTTTACTAAGAGTAAATTATTTTAAATTGTGGATAAATTATTTATAATAATTAAGTTGTTCTTATCAATCATATCGCAAACTATTGTAATATATAGTTATTTTTATAGAGTTTTATTTTATAAAAATATTAATAATTTTAGTATTTTATTAAATTTTTGCTCAAACTTTAAACATTTTTGTTTGACCATAATATATTGTAACTGCTTAAAGCAAAATTTTTTTTATTTGATTATGAAATTTAAATCTATTAATTTTTCTACAAAAATCTATTAATTTTTCATACATGAATATAGTATGTACTATTTATTTTAAATGCACATTTAAATATTGTATTCATTTTGTTATAGGTATGTGAGATGCATTTCAAGGAAAATGACATTAGAAAAGAGATATTAAATGACATTAGAATTATTTTTAAATGCTACTGAAAGTTAAACATATATCAGTAAAATTTATGTTTACATTTTATTTATCGTTTTTTGAATTTGCTATTTAATAAAATATTTGTTATCTAAGGTTGCTTACTTTAATTTTAGTTTATCACTTCTAACAATCACACTTCCACAGGAAAAAAATACAAATTATAATCATGCTTTTGATATGTTTTTTTTTACTATCTAAACCTTGTTTGAAGACTGCATTTGATTTTCTAAATTTTTTTAAGCTCATTTTATGTCATTGTTTATAAACAATTTCTATTTTATTTCGTATGCTCTAGTTCTAATAACATGCAAAACATAATCATTAAAATCCAAAATAATCATCTACTAAAAATGTAAGTATCATATTATAAAAATTAGACCCCTTTCTTAGTTTTATGTCAAAACTATAATAATAATAAATGTGTAAAATCCCTTTAAAAATATATTTCTTTGTTTTTAATCCATACATTTTATAACAAAAAGTTAGATAAAATTTTCCAATTTATAAAATAAAACTGATATTTAATGCTTAAAAATATATTTTTTTTCATTCACACAACAGTTATTTTTGTTAGAATTGATTTATTGTTAATCATTTCTGAAAACAAATAAATATATTAAGCATTTTTACACAATTTAAGAACATTTAATCTAGACAAAAAAAATAATAATAATAATTTGTAGAAAGTAAAAAATTAGTAGAAGAGTAACGAAAAAGTGTCGAGAAACAGAAGGAAAAAAAACCCGTCATCGTCAGAAGTGATCAGCAAATCTGGGCCTAACTGTATGAGTCATCGTTTTGCGTCCTTCGGCTTTCTTCCATCTAGGAGGTATTGGTTTAACTCGTGACGAAAATTTTAGTCCAAACTTTATTATCACGAATCAGGCTCGTTGTTTAATTTCATGTCAAACGTGAATATTACGAGTGAGTATCGTAATCGACATTTCGGGGCAAACATGAATATCATGAGCCGTACTCGTGGTATTAATCTGGACTAAACAAGAACATATAAATGGACTCTTATCTCTTTTTTATATGAATTTCTCTTCTTATATGAATTTCTCTTCTTATATGAATTTACACATTGTCTCCTAATCTCTTCTCCTCCGTCTGTCTCTCTTGTCTTTGGTTCTTTTCGCGAACATTTGTGTGGAAATGTTAGGCACGGCTTGTTCCGAATTTCAGCGTAGTGCAAGATATAATGTTGGAAAGATATAATGTTGGAAAACGTTTAATCGTAATGTTTCAGTATTATCAAAGCAGATGTATTTAAAATTTGGTTTCTTCTAAATTTTCATGATATCGTAAGCAATTTTATCTTAATATTGTTGTTAAACATTAGCTCTAGATTATTAGTATTTATACTAGTAGCATCGCATTTATACATTAATTTTGAATTATTTGGTTCAAATTTGAGATAAGAAGTATATATACACCGAAGAGCCATTACATTACGATCACCCTGATAATAACATGTAGGACCACCTATAGCCCTCGAAACTGCTAGCACCCGCCGTGGCATTGATTCCACAAGGTGCTAATAGGTAGTCTGAGGTAACTGGTACCAAGCGCTCACCAACTGGTCCTGCAATTCCCTCACTTTGAGAGGGGGTAGCGTGGCAGCACGAATTTATTTGGTTTTCCAAGTAGGACCAAAAATGCTCTATTGGATTAAGGTCAGGTGAATTTGGGGGCCAAGACATGACTTGAAAGTCACTGGAATGTTCTTCGACGATTCGACCCTTATGACAGGGTGCATTATCCTGTCGAAAAACACCATCCCCCGCAGGAAAAACTGTTGTCATGAATGGGTGAACCTGGTCTGCAACTATGTTCAAGTAGCTTACAGACGTCAGGGATTGTTCTATGAGGATAATGGGTCCTAATGTGCCCCATGGAAACATTGTTCCTGGGCGAGAAACCAGGAAAACCTAGGCGAGCCCATTGTTATAGATGGAGGGTGGTCATAATGTAATGGCTCTTCGGTGTATATTTAGCTGAACATTTACATTCTCGTAAAAACAGAAAATTTAAATCACTGTGGAGAAGAATCTTGTTTAAATTTTCATCTGCAAGGTTCTGTATATTCTTTCCAAAAACAAGTTTTTTAAATGCATAATATAGTAGTTTTATGGCTAATTCATCAATAGCAGAAACTTTACTCTAGCTTCTGCTTAATTTTTAAAATTTTCTTTTTCTAAAAAGCTGTCTTTAAAATGTTTACATATTGCACCTATTTTTAAAAAAATCTATTTATGTCATAATGCATAATCTATAATCAGCGAAATATAAGCAATGGAATTGTTTTAAACAAAAATCTATTTTGTTATAGCAACGTTCTCAAAAGAGTAACTAATTGTAGTCAAATTTTAATAATTCAAACTAACTTAAAAAGAGCGAGTGAAAAATCACTCAACTTGAATGAAATTTTACTTTCTCATCTAGAAAGAAGGAGCCTTCTTATCTTGAGTGAAATTCACTCAAGTGAAAGGGTTAAATGAAATCACTCAAGTTTGAGTGAAAAAATTTCAGTCGAAGTGAAATTCAATCGTGTTTGAGTGATTATCAGTTTTACTTGAGCGGATCGTTTTCACTCTAACTTAAGTGATTTTCAATTATTTTTTATTTATTATACGTATTGCTTGATTGGGTACTTTTAACTTGAATTTGTGTGAATTTCAATCATTTTTCATTCATAATTAGCATCATTTAATTGAATATATTTTAATCATGCTATCATTATTTATTCTTTTTATTTACATATCAGTTAAATCACATTTGAATTAAATTTATCCTTCTCAGACTATTCACTGAATCTTTTAATGCCAATCATAAATGAGATTGAAAGAAAAATATTTTTAGCATATGTAATAGAAATAATTTATCAGCATTTATTTCTTTTAAATTTCATCGATGGTTTGTTCGGCAATTAATAAATTTTTAAAATTTTAAAACTAAGCAGTGATATTTGATTAAAAAAAAGTGAAAGCTTAGTAACCCATCTGTGTTTAACAATATGCTGAATATAATGGCAAGATAATACTCTTTAGAGATCGAAAGCTTTGAGACATACTTAAGTACGAAATTTTAAGTATTTTAAACTATTTGCAATAAGACAAATTTTTTATTAACAGTTAACATTGTTTTTTTAATTTTATTTAGGTATTCAAATACTAATTGAAGTGATTTCATTAATGCGTTAAATCGCACTTAACAATTTCCATCCTAGTTCTAGGGATCATAACTTTGATAATTCTTCTACATCCTATTTTATTTGGATAGTAATTTTTCTAAATATTACTTTATTTATAAAAGATTTGCTAAAATATACTTAAAATATTTTTAGATATTGGTAAAAGGCAAGATCATAACGTCTTTTTAACAGGGTACCCACTCAATTTCTGAAAAAAATTCCCTAACTTTTCCAGTTATTCCAGATAAATTACAACTAAAATCAAGACCATATTTTAACTATATCATTCAATTTTTCATCAGAAAAATTTCAATTATTTTATTTGCAATGGCAAATAATAGATTTTCTGTGTAAAAAAATATATAATTAAATGAAGATGGGAACATTTCAGTTTGACTAAAATGTAAAATTTTTGCAGCAAATAATTGTAATAGATTTAGAATTGTTTAACGCAATTCTCAATAACTAACTACTGTTACTGACAATTTTAAGACTGGTTATTTTGCAGGCATAAAATAGATATTCTACAGTAATATGTGAAAAAAATTGCAACTTGCCCTGATTATTCCCTGATTGGAGCTGAAATAAAATTCCCTGACAATGTTAGGTTTTCCCTGTTTTAATCGTTCATTTGTTTAATTGTAATTTAAAAATGAACTGAACGCAATTTAATTACAAAAAAAAAATAATAGCATCTTTGGGAATTTTTAACTTGCTTTTATATAACGTTATATGCATGTGTAACACAACTCTAAAAATCACTTTAAGTCATCAATGATAATTATTGAAAATATGTAACTTTCATGTCAGCAAAATTATGCAGGTCTTAGTTTTCAATTCTTTATTACTTTATAAAATGTCTTCTTGAAGTGGAGCAGTTAGCATCCTTGCAAAAAGTATTGACGCTTGAAAGCTATGATACTACTGCAAAGGGTTAAGACTTTTAACAAAAAATGTGAGAATGCATTAGCGAATAAGACAACTACATTACAGAAAGAAAAAGGATATTTTATTGTATATGTTTTCTTATACATATATTTTTAATGTATTCACTCTAGATAGTAGAATATTTAAGTTTTCTATAGTGCTTTTAGAAGCACCTTTTTCTGCTCATAGAGCATAAACTGAAGAAACGAGAAGAACATAGAGCTTGATTAACTGTACATTACATTGAAAACAAAGTGATTCTTAAACAAAAGGTCAATTGCTGTCATGGAGCAAGTGTCTACACCTACAATCATCTTATCCAATATAAGAAAAAACTTCGATTCCTTTGTTTTCTTTTCCATTTTACAGATGAGCTGAGCAGTCAATATCATTTAGCTCCTCATAAAAATTCACATTTTTCTGGAAAAAAACATTTGTACATTACGAAGACAATTTTCAAAACATAAATACTAATTTTGGTACATTCTTTTTCTAATAAATTGACTAATTAATGCTTTTTTTTTCCTTTTCGCACTGGTAAAATACAAACTGTTTCAGTTAAAAATTTAAAATACTTCAAAATTTTTTGTAAACTTTAAAAAGACTATTATAGCATTACTTTTACTCAGAAAATAATTTATAAAATAAAATTTATATCATTATTAAGCAAGACAATAAGTCAGAAAAATGCATTTTATATACATCACATTATTTACTCCTTTCACTTTAGTATGTAAAACACATTATTATTTAGTTATTTATTTCTGTTTAACTCACTGAGCTCCCCCCCCCGTCACTGAGAAGAAAAAAAAGATTATAATATGCTATTGAAATACACATATTTCAAAAAATTTGACTCAGTAAAAATAAGAAAAAATTCTTACTTTTTTTTAACTATGACTTTAAAAACATTCAATAAAATAAAAAAATATGTTTTAAAACAAATTATTTTAAAAATTTTTATTATAAAATTTGAAAAAGAAATTGCTTAAAACTGTGCGAAATATAAGTAATTAAAATTGTTATTTTATACAGGGCATGCGCGGCAAAATATTTAAAAACAATTTTCATAATTTTAGAGTGAATCATCTGAATTTCAATTTATTTTCAATTTAATGAGAAATGGAGTACTCTTTGATTTGACAAAAATTCGTTTATCTTACTACAAATTTAAAGTTAAATTTATCAACATTCAGGTTTTTTCGTGATTCGCCTTGAATTTAAATTCTTTTTCCGTTATCGAAACAAATTAAAAAAAGAAGTCTATGTTTACTCAATCATATGTAGCATATTATTTAACTGTAGTGGTAATCCTTCAGTCACGAAATATTTCATTTCTATAAACAGTAAAAGTAAAAGTACTATTAAAAACCAAGAGAAGTGGCACATTTACAGTTCTGACCCATCACTTTTGAATAATTAATAGGAAAATCTATTAAATATGCTTACACCAGGAAATCTTATTACACATTCTGAAGGGAGCTTTTTCTGAATCTGATTACCATGTGAGAACTGGAATAAAAGAACAAAATTATTTTAAACAAATGATATAAAATACAGGGAAACTCCATTTATTAATATAAATGGAGTTTGCTGACCAAGTGGAGTAGCGGTCAGCGTGCCTGACTGTGAAACCAGTAGCCGCGGGAATCCCGCGATCGAATCCGCCCAGGGCATGGATGTTTACCTCTCTGTATGTGTAGTTTTTTGTTGTGTGCTGTGTGAATGTGGCTCACTCTATGAACGAGTATCTGTGACAGTGTGGCGTGTGTAAAGTTGCTCGCCTCCGAGACTTAGGTTCACTATATTTCTTTATTACTTTATAAAATGTCTTCTTGAAG